GCTTCATATTGCCTTGTCGGAAATACTAGGGAAGCCACTAATGCGCTCAAAATTTAAGGTTTAGGGAGCAGAAGCTGATGACGTATACCTTACTAGCAGAATTGATGTGTGATTTCCTTCCTCTGCCATATGCACTTTAAAGAGCAGACTGGAACTCTTGGTGCAATGTTAGAACAAGAATTAGGAATCCTTTCAACAACCCTGATGGATCCAACTTTATAGGACTGGTTCTGTGTTAACACCCCATTCCTTCTTGGTTGTGTCTTGCTAGTTTGTCCAGTGTCAGGACTCAGGTCTTACACATTCTGAGATTAAATAATAGGTTGAATTATGCTGGTAAAAAAGCACCTGATTTTATTTTCCATTTAGTATGACTTGATCTTTTACTTCTTTCTTGCTGCAGACAAAATTCGTCTGTGCCTTGCCTAAACTATTTGCTGCTGTGTCGAAGTGGGAATTGGATGGTGCCAATCTGTACAACTCCTGTCTAGCTTTGTGCTTCCCAGAACTGGTGGGGGCTGGATTGGTGTTCCTGGTTCAGATTTACCTCCAATAAGCATGTGCAACTGATCTGGGGATCTTGGAGCCAGACAGGGAGCAGGGTTGGAGGCTGCAATCAGTTCAGGCTAATGGTTCTTGCTGTGTGCTATTTAGCACCAGGATGGATGGTGGACAAAATCTTCTCTGTGTGACCCAAAGGCATAGGACTGCTTGGTTTCGTGGTGTGTACGCAGGGCTGGGAAGTTGATGTAGGTCCCAAATGTCAGTTGAGTCTAGCTAAGCTTTCGCTCTGTCTGATTGTAAACCCCATGGGCTCTTCCTCCAGCTGAGGAGGGGAGTGGAGTGGCTAGTGATGTTCCATGAAGCACAGAATCTGTTGTTCATATGCACCCTGTGGGACAAGAAGTGCTGTGGGTGATCTGTCCTAGGAATGGGTTTCATTGCAAATAGGACTTTCTTTCTCCTCCTCAGGAGTCATCCACTGGAGTTCACAGTGCTGACCCACAGTAAGCTCAGCAGGTGCTGTGTGATGCTGTCTCCTAGGGTGCCTCACAGCACTTGCTGCCACTTTACTCCAGCTGGGACTCAAGATGTCACAATTGTGTCTCCAAGAGCCTTTACTACATAAACTGAGGTACTCAGTCTTCTTTTGCCACAAGGGGAATGCTAATCTGTGCAATCCTTCTGCTACATTGTCAGGAGGACTGCTGGAGTGATATTCTCCAAGAGACAGAGTGATGCATTGGTGAAACAAAGCGAGGTACTCTTTCCCAAAGTAAGGGAAACAACTAGGAGCTCAGGTCACCTTGAAAGTACGCTACTGAAATCAGTGAGCTGGCCTTTCCTTAGAGGCAGTCTGGAAGTATCCTGTCATCACTGCCTTTCTGAAAGAGGAACACAAGGAGAAAACTACGCTGTGTCATAAGAAGCTGCTGCTCAGACTTAAAGAGCAGCCAGAAAAATTCATCAAGGGCACTGCTGCCAAGTGCACAGATGTGTGGAACAGTAGGACCCCTCAGGTGAAATCTTTCATGTCAGTCAAGCAAATTTTCCAAACAGCTTAAAAAATTCCACAGAAAGGAAGCCAAGAATGCTTAAGACCTCCAAGTCATTCCTTAAAATTTTGTGATCAGTTTTTCCACTACTTTCAGAATATTTAGTAGCTAATCTGACCAAAATAGGAGTTCACATAAAGTTGTAGTAAATCCTACATTCTCCATGGTGGAAGTGTATGTGCTATAGCAGTATGTTCCTATGATGTACAGCAGATTATATAGAGGAATTCTTTTTCTCTAGAACACCTGAATGCTAACCATATACCTTTGGCTGCTGTAATCAGCCAGTCATGACCTTGGCCAAGAACGGTTCTTTTTCTGGAAACAATGGCAATGGTGGAGATGCTTTGAAAGTGACCTGAGTTAAGCAGTGACCACCAATGGGCTGTGTGTAAACTTGTGCTGAATGCAGTAGGATGGGGAAGAGGTTATGATTTTCTCTATGTTCTCTAGTTTTGAAACTAGATGGCAGATTTTTCCTCTTGCTAGCAGTCCTCATTTGTGTCATGGAGCAAACAATGAAAGCCGTGATGAAACTCTAAACTCAGGGAAGGTCGCACTCAGTTGCTTACCCTAAGAAAGGAAAGAAACCCAGGAAACCGAATCCATTTAGATAATTGATGTGGTTGTACTTTTGCTGCTACAATTAACAGGCACGCTGTAAGACTGGTTGCTTCTTCAGCTGTTAGAAGAGAAAAACGAAAAAGAACTGCAGTTGTCTAATTGTTGTACTGCATCCACTAGTTCCTGCAGCACAGCTCTGGTTAACTGAACAGCTAAGAAAGCACACAGTCACAGCACCTTTATTTTTCTTGTTGACCTTTAGCTTAAAAAAGTAGATGCTTATGGCATTGTTTCCCTTGAGACTGCTGGTGTTCTGTGAAGCAGTCGAAGTGGAGTGATGTGCCTGTCAGGGCAGGAGAGAGATCGTGCTGTGTCCTTTGGGTTTGCTGTATTAGAGCACAAAATTCACAGCAGCATTGTACCTTGTTAAAATCCTGTGTACAACTCTTTGAAATGTGCCTTTTGCTTCCCTTTAGCTGGTTGGATTTTTGAAACAAAAGGGAGACTGTGCTTTGGTGGTGCAATTTGCAAAACCTATGTCAGAGAAATTAGGATAAGACTTGAAGGCTTATTTAATCACTTATTTCAAGCTTGAATGACATGGCTTCAGTTACTCCCCTCTGTGGAAACAGGATTTTGGTGTGATGGGCATGACTCGTTAATTAATCTGTTTGGGACTAAAGTGTTGCAAATGTGGAGAGTGGAAAATGTACCAGACTTGCTGAATCTCTCTGATGAAGGCAGGAGACACCTGGCAATAGCAAGTTACTCCCCTCCATTGCGTGGGACAAGCTGCCCAGTTTGACAAGTCTGTCAGGCATATCTCAGTGCAGCAAACCCTGCGAGGCAGCACTGGCAAACCTGCTCAGCCCTGCTGGACTCCGTGTCCTCCTTTCCTGAGGCACCGTGAGGCTCTGTGGTCCCCTGTGATGATGTCCCTGGAGACCTTGGATGTGACTGGTCCTCCCCACAGTGCTTTTCACCAGCACTGAACAGCTTATCCTCGTCCCTGCCTGCTTCATCCTCCTGACATTTTTCTGGTTCTTTGCTGGGAAGGTCAGCCAAGCAGAACGGCTCTTGTGTGTTGTGGGAAGGAATGATTTATCCTTCAAGCTCTAATCCTCGAGAAATAAGTTCTCTGTGAGGATTTTGCAAGAAAATGAAGGTGAGTGGCAAGTCTCCAAGCAGGCATTTATCAGAGCAGTGGGGGAGAAGTTAAACACAATCACATGGTAGAAAATAAGCTGAGCACGCGATGCCTTTAGTCTTACGCTTACTTAAGGCGTGAGGCTTATGACAGCCAGGAGCTGAGCCAGGGAACAGGCAATGTGATCAAACAGCAGTGATATGCCATTCCTGCTGCAGCAGTCAACACTAAGCTCCCTTTTGCTATTTGGCTTTTTCCACTGGACTCGAGGATTGCTTGACTTGAAAGGCTTTGGGGTAGGAGAGGACAGCATCAACCCATAGTGCTCAGGTATTCTGGGGAGTAACAAAGAGCTGCCAGGTTGTTGCTTGGTTTGACCAGAAGAAAACAGGGTGCTCTGGAACTGCTGTGTACCTTTAGGATAGGATGAGTTAGGACCCAGAGCTGGAATGCTGTGTGAGAGATCAGCATTTACTTCCCTCCTTGCTTCACACTTAGTGACACTCACTGGTTTCTACACCTGCAGAGCATATCTATAGCTCTGTATGGGTCAGAGGACAAATTCCTTCATTTTGCGGTAGTTCCCAATGTTTCTTCAATGTCAGACTGCAGCTGAATATTCTATACGTACAGTGAGCCTGCAAGAATTGTGTTGAAAGGTCACCTTTGGCTTATCAGGCATAAGCATATGAACTCAGATGGTTTGTTCTGTCTCCATCTCCCTCTATCCTACAGCAGAGAGCCTGGGATGTGCTTGTGGTAATGTTATTTTAGAGCTGACTACGTGGACGTGAGGTTTATTTTACAGCAGTGTCTCTGACCTGACACACTCCAGTATTTGAGCTGAAACTGTAATGCTCTGTGCTGTGAGGCAGGGAGCACAAAGAATAGGGGAAGGAGAGAAAGGGCTCAGTGTTTTGTGGTTGCTGTCCCAATCAGAAGTAGCCCCAGTTGCTCTTGGTGTTTTATGGAGATTTTTGCTTGCAATTTAGAAACAGAACATCCCTCTTTTTCCACTCAATCCTGTTATTTTTGGTACCTACCTACACATCAGCAACCTCCACACAGCCTCCTCTGAGCAGTCTCTATCTCCTGCTGCCTCCAGCACAGCTCTATCTCTGCCTCTTGCCCTTCTCTCTGCTCTGCCTCTGTCACCTCTCTGCCTGCCCCTCTGCCAGCACCAGCTTCTCCTGGCTGCTCCTTCCTCAGAAGCAACTTTTGCCACCCCACGCACATCTCCGCCTGGAAAATCCAGCCCTGATGAAGCAGCAGCAGGCACTCTGATGAAACTGGGCTCTGCTGTCCTTCAGGGTGAAGGGGTGCCCTCTCCTGTCACCGCTCTGTCACACACAGGCCAGCACAGGACACAGGCACCCCTGCGTGGTCTGTGCCACCACCTCAGCAGTTGTCCAGAGCTGCCAGCCTTGCTTCTTCGCTCTTCTCCTGACTGCTTCCTCTCCTGTCTGCACTCTTTTTTTCTTCACTGACTCACTTTGCACAGGGTGTGTGCAGCCTGGCTACCAGTCTCATGTAGGCTGTAGTTTCTCTTCAACCTTAACTGTATGGAGCTCACAGCCATGGGCTTTATTTTCAGCTCTCACTACAGCAAGGATTGTTTTCTCTTTTGACTCAATCTGAAAGCAGAGTGCAGAAAGCACTCATCAACACCATCTCACAGGAGCCCCTACACAGCGACTGGCTCTCATGTCATCTCATTCTCTCTTTCTTAACAGATCATGTTATAACCTTTGATCACAGAAAGTCCCGATCACGTTTCTCTGCTGTCACCTGTGGGCTCCTCCAGAGCCATGAAGAAGGGGGAACTCCAGCCCCACCATGAGAAGACTGGGTGAGAAGTGCCTTTGACATCTTGGGGAACAGCCACACCTTAAGAGCTAGCTTTAATTTTTATTTTTAGTAGTTATGAAGGACTGTAATAATATTCTTCATTTCACAGATCCACGGGAGCAACTTTGTCTTCCTTCTCTGGGATGATGTTAGAGATAGTTTCATAAACAAGGGAAAAGTATGTCAGTTTGAACCACTCTCAATCAAGGCATGAATTAAGCTGCTAGGGTTACTAAGATTGCCTTCCAGGCAATACACTGCCTCGGGTGATTTAGTCTTCAGAGAGCAATGAGTCTGTTCTTTCCCCTCCTGGTCAGGGTGTCTGTGCTGCTCCAGTAGTTGGCAGTGCACAGAGAATCCAGCCCTGTGACAGACAAGCAGTCTGGGCTGTAGCTTATAAGATCCTATCTTGCTTTAGCAAAAGACCTCTTCCTGGATGTTCTAGCTGGTTGCTTCTTGCTTAGCTTGTTACTAGAGACTATTGCCCTACCATCCCATCTCCATGATGCCCTTATGAATTTCAAGCTAAGCTCATATCCCCTGCTTAATCTTATTTTCCTTTATGTATGGCCCTTACTCTCTCATTCCTTCTGCCTCTGGTTGCCAATGGAGGGAATGGAGCAGTCTCAAGCAGACACTGATGTCTTATGTGATTGCTGTCAAGTCCATGAAGCCCAAATCCTTAAGAGAAATTAGATGTTTCTCTATTTGCTGTGAGGAGCCCTGACTGATTGAGATTGCTCCTTCCATTTCCAAGGATGACTTAGATACTTAGGCTACATCCTATTGGCTTTAACTGAAATTTTAAGTTTTTATTTTTTTGTATTGCTCTGAACATGTGATTTAGTCAGTTATATTCCCCAAGCTTACAATGCTGAACACAGGAACAACCTTGAAAACCACAATTTCTCTTTCTGAGCTGTAATGTGGGATGATCATTCAGGCCTGCTGCTGAGTGTTCCAGTTGTGAAGCACCTCTATCTCTGCACTAGAAAGGCTTTGGAAAGACTTGATTAACAGTCATTAACCTGTGAAGGGTAAATCAAGTCACCACCACTGAGCCGCCTTCTTCCTCCTTGCTGCCCGAACCTTCCTGCAAACTACACCATTATGCCATCCTTCCACACTCCTGCCCTCTTGTTCAGCTCCCACATTTTTGTCTGCAACCCATTTGAGAAAAAGAACTCATGCTCTCTTGTAAATCTTCCGCCTCCTTAGTGCTACTGTGCGAGTAAGCTAGGCCTGCAACAAGCGCTTCTAAGTATTCCTCATAAGAGATGAGTAGTGTTTTTGTGAGGGAGCTGCTGAGGATAAACTTCTCCAAAATTAAAACAGGTAGTGTAAGGTCTCTGCTGGCTTGGCTAGAGGTGAAAAAGATTCCCCGCCCCAAGCCCTGTGGTTCATCACCTAGTTATGCTGCTATTTCTAGCCAAGCTGTTGGTGTTCAGCTTCTGCATTCCCTAGAAGCAGGTCTGCTATTGCATCCTGCGAACCATCACCAGGCTGCTTCAGTAACTCATCTTTCCTTCCATTCACAGGTCTTCTGCGCATGGCAACTCAACCCATGTGAGAGTCCACTTATGTGAGTACCCAGCAGCACACTTTGCTGTCTGTGGACATTGACTGCCATCTAAGAGACAACCCAGCTCCCTCCTCTCCCCTTAGAAGCCACTGTATTAGCCTCCATGTGCATTTGCTATGACATACATCAATGTTGATGAGAGACAGGAACACTGCCGGGTGATCTTGAGCTGCCAAAATAATCAGCTCTGTGCGCAACATGGCTTAAAGGAGTTTTCAGTTAGCAGCATGCATCCACTAAAGAACTTAGACACTCATATTTTTTCTGGGGACTTCCACACTCTGCACTCTTGCCACACAGGCAAGGCGCTTTTGGCCAATCCTGTGGAAAAACGGATGTATCGGAGCGTGGAGAACCTTCACTGGGCAACAGTAGCTGACTCTGGGCTGTATTCTCACTGCCGGAGCCTGGATAATGAGATCATCTTTCGCTATAGAGGCACCCGTCAGTGGTCAGAAGGCTGTGTGGATGTGGCCCCTGTACGGAGCACATTGGACTCTTTGAGAAATCTTTCTATCCGTCCTAAACAGACATCACAGTCAGCACAGAATGTGCTCCTCCCTCCCTATGTCAAAGTGCCTCAGTGGCTCTTCCCTTCTGCAGAGCACAGAGCCCTACGCGAGGATGCCAAAAAAGAGTTGAAGGAGAAGCTGAGGCTGAACAGCAATAAAGTGGCAGAGCCCAGCAAGCCAGTACGTCCACAGGCAGCCCTGACTGACCTGGCAGCACAGGAGTTTTCTGAATGCCAGATGTGCCAGCAGTACAAGAACGGTTGTGCTGTCAGCTGCTGCACGGTTTTGGTGGAACATGCTGCCCTAAGACATGGCCTCACAGGGAGACAGAGACTCTGTGTCGCACACAGGATCATCAGTCCAGAAGACATCAAACAGGAGGCTCAGAGGAGGCTTCGGCTCCACAGGCAGAATAGCTCCCCTAGCTTGCCCTTCCAGCATGCTGAGGAAAGCCATGAGATGGAGAAATCCAGAACAGCAGAATCCCTGGAACGACTCAGTGGGGAAAAAGATGTCAAAGAAACACTGGGGCAGAGCAGGAAAAGCCACTGCAAAGGGAGGCTGTACATACCCACCTTTGAGGAATTCAAACAAATGATAAATAAGGAGGCAAATTCATCTGCTGGCAGCACTGAGACAACAAAGTGCTTGAGTGAGGGGCTGCTTCCAAACCAGCCCCTGGATGAGGAAAGCAATAGGAATATCTGTCCAGAAGGTTTGGGAACCAAAGCTGTGAATGAAGCTGCCATCGCAGTAGAGGATGATGATGATGTGTTCCAAGAAAACCACACCTCTGCTGGTTTTTTGCAATATCCAGTCACGTGGGATGGTTTCAGGCTAAGCAGCCCTGAAGTTAAGGACAGAACTGTCCAGATCTCCAACCTGGATATGTCCCCGGTCCCCATTTGCTCTAGCCCTATTCCACGATCACCTTTGCAGGCAGTAGCAATACACAGAGTTGGGCAGGAGATCTTCAGTGGTGAGCAGCAGAAAGGAGAGACAAGACAATTAAATGATGTCCTCCACCTTGCAGGGCAGTCACTGGCTTCTGAAGCCCAGTCCTCTTGCTGTCCATCGCTGCTGTTAGAAGGCGCAGACTTGTCAAGCTATGGAGCTAAGCTACAAAAAATGAAGGATGAATTCATAGGTTCAGCCCTGGAACTTATTAAGAAAAGGTAACATGCTCTGTGGTGTCACCTGAAAGCAGTTCCTTTGTTAGCTATCTGGTCTCTCTCCTGATATGTGCATTTAACTTCTGTAGCATAAATATGCTGTTGACAGAGGCTTTTGTCTTGAGGTCTCTGCAGCATGTTGGCACATCTTTAAGCTACTGAGCTTAAAATCCATCTTTGTTTGGGATTAAGAATAAAAAAAAATCATTTTGTGCACCTTAGTCCCTTAATCCTGTCCAGACATCAGTTATTAGTGGTCCTGGTGCTCAATTTCCCACTCATTTTATTTCTGTAGTAAATTATTGACAGGCCTTTTTTTTTTTTTCTTCCCTGGAATATTTGTTAAAAGTATAAAACAACAGAGAGATAAAAAAAAAAACAAAAAACATTCACACAGTCTCTTTGGAAAAAAAGATATAAAGTCTGTCCTGTCATTGCAGAACATTAATTCAGGTAGTGTGATGTGCAGCAAAAAGGACTTTCACTTACTGTCTTTGTGTAGTGAACTGGCAAACAACTGAGAGTAGGATGACTTCTGTGAGTCTTTTACAACCGTCTGGAGATCAGCAGAGCCAGCAAGTGAAAGTACCTACTGTCCCTCTGCCAACGCCAGCACTGTGAGCAAAATAATTGTGTAAAACCTTCCTGCTTCTCCATTTGCTTTATTCCTCTCTCTGGGTAAGATGCTCACAAGGACTGTTTTCTCTGTCCTGGTTTTAGACACTGCAGTCCTGCTACCTTCCTTCTTTCCAAAGAAATGGAAACTTTCCCATGCAGGCAAGTGGCAGGAATCAGCAAAGTTCTGGAAGTTAGGAACACCAGGCAGTGTCACTGTGAGCGCAGGCTGATGGGAAAAGGAGTGCTGGTGGAGTGGCTTGTTTCATAAGTCTGGCTTTCTGGACTGGCTTTGCCAAGAATTACATTCGCCTGGCTTCCTGGCTGCTTCCAGTATCTGCAGACGCAGTGTTGAAATGCCAGGGCATCAGCCTTGAATACTGGCATTCCACAGATACGAAGCTAGAGCTCCGAGGCTGGACTCTTCAGTATTAGAGATGATGGTGACTTCTGTGCAGGAATGAAAGTCATCTGAAATAGCCTCTTTGGAGCTGTAGCTGCTCCTGTAAACAAAACCAGAGTGATGAGCAGAGATACTTGGGCAACTCTGTAATGCAAAGCTTCCTTCAGCTGTCCAACTTAGCCTTTGTGCTAGAGTATGAAAGCCTGATGAGGAAATAGACCAAAAAAAGCTGTGGCGTGCAACCATTTTCATTGAGTAGGCTATTTTTATCTTCGATGTGAAATGAAATAAACAGAATGGCACAAGCTATGACTAAGAGCATAAGAACAGCTGTCTGGGCAGATCAAAGGTTTGACTAAGTATCCAGAGCCTCAGGTGCATGCATAGCAAGGTATACAGGAACTGGGGAGTGCACGTGGTATTTCTTCCTACTACCCTCTCTGCTTCCAAATACTTTCTGCTCAGGGCTCTTATGATTTCAGTGCAGTTTCTGTGCTTTTAATATCCTATTAGCCTTTGTCTCTGTGAATGTATTTAGACTCCCTAACTGGGTTTGTTAAAGTCATGATATGATTTTGTAATCACCAGGATGGGAATTCATCTGAAAATGTGAATGGCAGTATTAGAAAGATTGATTCATGTCAGTGAACAACTCTGACCTGTTTATTTTAGATAGTAACAACAGTTAGTGGTAAAGGCTGTTATTTGTTCAGGATAGCAGGAGGGAACTCATCTGCTGGCATTGCCAAGGTAGTTCTTAGTGGAAAACACTAGTTTCCTTTGGCTGGATAAGTCTCCATTTTCCATCATTTTCACCTGAGACTTAAAGAGCTGAATATTCATTTATAACCTAAGCTGATTCTCACTGCAGAGGTAGGAGACTTCTTGTCTTTTGGGTCCTATATTGTGATGACTGGGCTACATTTTTTTCCTAAGTCTTACGCGAAAGGAGCTGAAAGCTGGGGATTTGGTCCCATTTTCAAATATAGAGCTCAGCAAGTCTTTGATAGAGATGTTGTGATGGAACGTTACAGAATAAGGCAGCTGAAATTGTCTTCTCTTTGTGGTGGTCTTGTGTAAGTGCTACAGTTTTACAGATCAGCTTTGTCTGGTAAGTTAATTGCCTTCCTGTTAATTTATACATATTTGTTATAGACTCATTTAATTGGCTGAATGTTTTAGCAGGGAATATTTGCTTTTCGACTTTGGAATCGTAGCAGCTTTCATCCTCTCCTGGGTCACTGGATGCCTTTAACTTAGGTTGTAGTCCTTGGTGGGAGGAGGTATGGAGATCTAGGCAGAAATTCTGTAGGCATTTCTATAGATTGTCCATTTTCTGAACCTTGGAATAAGGATGTGCAAAAAGGAAACATACCAGAGAGTCCAGAGGGTTCAGTAAAATATGTATATAACTATTCTTATGTTATCGCAAGGGACAGGAGGCAAAAAAGTTTCAGAATGCCAATTTCAGAGCCCTGGCAGCTGGATCTTCACAAACCATGCCATGTGCTTACAGCCATTGCTTAGCTGCAGCTGGCTGAGCTCCCTCCCTCTCTTAGGGAGGACAGAGCACAAGGAAGGAGCAGTACACAGGGAGCATAGCAAGGTGTTGGGAGAACATTGTGAAAGGAGGAAAAAATGAGAAGATGAATAATACCAGAGGTGTAAAAGAAAGGATACTCTAAACTCAGTTTACACCACTGTCTAGGTGATGTGAGTGGTATGAAAAAGCAGCATGCTCAGCTCAGTCTTACAGTGTGAATCAGCAGAGACTATTGCAGACTGTAAAGAGGAAAGCTGGCAGCAGTGATGGTTCAGCTGGGGAGGTACAGCTGCAGGAAGAAATGTATGGGGAAGGGACAGGAAGGCTGAGAACAGGGATAGGAAAGAAGCAACATCTAGCTTGGGCTGCCAGCTCACCAAATTGCTGTAAAAGGAAAGTGCAGCTTCTTCCTGAGAGCGCGGTGTATATGGTTGAAGGCATCATGATCAAGAGAAGATAATATTCCAGTTGTGCTGCTAAGCTCGGATACACCCTGTTGCCTCTATGTATGCCTCAGCATACTCCTTTCCTTTTGTGTATATAGCAGGAGCAAGTTTTGGAAACATTGTTTTGTGGCAGATCCTCATCAAGAGTTTCTTACTCCCCAACCTCTGACGTCCCTCCTTCAGGTGTGCCCTGCTCAGCTCTTTGTATATTACCCAAGTCAGTGACATATCATCGAGATGATCTGGATTGTAATATGTGAGGGAGAATATATTTCAAACACAGGTGGTTTCAAAGAATTACTCTATAATCCAGATCATGGCCACATACAGTGCTGAAGGAGTGATACTGCCACGTGGCTGGAGGCAGGAGAGAGGAAAGAGACAGGACCAGGCCAGTACCATGGGACCACAGCCCTACTGTGTGCCTGCAGTGTTCTAACACAGATGGTAATACAGACTGTGGATAATACAGGGCAGCATGAGTTTTGGCCTCTCCTTCCTACAGGCCGGGAGGGCTGAAATGGCACTTCCAAATCCACAGAGCAGGGCATTAGCACAGCAAAAGCAAAGGAGTCTGCTGTTATACTGTGCCAATGCTGCACACCCACAGCTCAACTCTTTTTAAGTTGGTAAATCTTCTGGTGGTGTCAGCTGGGACCTGGAAGCACTGATGGAGGAAGATGAACAAGCATCAGCTGCAAAGTTGCAGACCAACTTTTTTGGCCTGACAACAAGAGCCAGTTTGTGTTCTGGGAGATTTGTTCCCTCTTCAGTGATTTCAGTATTGGCTGATGGTTTGTTGTCAGAGCCAACTGTCATTCATCGTAAAGAAAATGCCCATCTGTCTCATGTGTTTGCTTGTAGCTGGCAGTGTTGGAATTGTGCATTAGCAGTATGACCTACCAGCATCAGTTCACAAGTGAAGCCTTTAAAAAGAAGCAGATTTTATCATAGAAGATGTTTGTTAAGCATAGGGTACATTCATAATCTTAAATCCAGACACTGGCTTCCACTATGCACAAACATCCATATTCAGTCCTGACAACCCTTTTTAAAAGAATCCAAGCCCTAAGTAACCCCAAAATGAAAAAAATAAAATTATTCCAAGCAGGCTTTGTTATGTATGCAAGAAAAGTGTCTTAGAGCCTGTTTAAAAAAAATGAAGGAATTACAGGTTGTGTCACAAATTGCAGTCTGTCAACTACTGTGTCAAGTTAGTGGTTTTGCACCAGACTCTGTCTGTCTGGAGAGGTGTTATCTACAGGGAGAGGAGTGTGGGGTTGGAACAGGCTGCCTGTATCAGCCAGGCCAGGCCCTCGTTACCAGCAGACAGCTGTGACTAAGAGCACCCCAGAATTGCCAAGTGAGACTTGCAGGCTGCCAGTTATTTCAGGGCTCTTCAGTGCACCTAAGGTCCTGGATCACGAGCTCTCTGAAAGCAGAAGGAATCTTTCCAATGGTTTCTGTGAGTTTGGGATCATATGAGATGAAGAACAGAGGGAGAGCTCCTTTAATCCTCTAATCTCCTCAAAGTATTGTGATTTCTTGCAGGTGATTTTCTTCCCCGTGAGGAATATAGCTTCTCTGTTGACAGCATCTCTTTGAATAGCAGGAAAAATGGATATAGCCTACTTAGAAAGAGGTTTTTCTGGTCCCAGTGGGTAAACCTCACGTTTTATGAACACAAAATAGCGCTGTGAACACCTGAGACTTGATATCCCAGGCTGATGCTGGTATGAGTGCAATTACCCATTTGCACTGCTATAACAGAGCTGTATTTAGAGCCCCTGAAACACAGACACAGAGATCTATGCCAACAAGACTAGATTCCTGCCTGAACTTTCCCTGAACTGTTGTGGCTGGGCTGATCAGACTGTGGCTTTCTGCTCAGTCTCATCTGGGTCATGAATGGCAAGTAAGCTGCAGACGTGATGTTCATCAGAATTTGCTTCTTTCCCTGCAGCTGCAATGCTGAGACTGCTGCCAGATCTCCCTCTGAGGGACAGTGTGATCTGAAGGAAGACGATCGCCCACCTCCAGAGGACAGCCAGCAAGCCACAGCAATGTCCATGGCAACAGAGAGCTGGGAGGATAAGACAAGCAATGAGAAATCCAGTGATACTCAACCTGCAGGGAATGTAAGGGAGAGGAATTCACCTCTCATTTTGTATATTTGTTTAGAACTTTTTCTTGTCAGAAGCTCTGAAAGATCTCTTTGTTGCAGAAGCTGGGCAGCTTGGCATCTGAGATTACATTAACTCCCATGATCAATTTATCAGAAGGACTTCTAGTGCCTATTTTATTACACTTAAGGAAATGGGAGTCAGCTGTGTGCCCTTGCCAATCTGCCACTGCAGGGAGCTCAGCAATAATCCCCCTGTGGCTTTCACTATGCCATCACCCTTTCATTTCTGCACTGCCCAGGAGATCAGCCAGGTCCTTCTCTTGTCCCCACTTAGTCAGTCCACTAATGTAGGTGAGGCTTAAAAGCCTGGGCCAGCAGCTCTGAAATATTCACAGATCAGAGGGAAGCAAAGTTAGATCCCTGGAGGACTGGTGCAGTTGCCACTTTAGAGCCTTAGCCAGGGCTATGTTGTTCACTTCTCCATGCCTATTTGACTGCTGTGGCCCAGCCACCACTGAGCCACTGTACTGACAGCTACAGAGCCGCAGGGGAGAGGAGTTCTTGCTGTTGGAACCAAGCAAGACAGAGGGATCTGGGGTTTGTGATTATAGAATCACAGAACATCCCAAACAGATTGTGTAGAAGAGCTGCATTTCAAACCACGCTGCTAATAAATTGCCTTTTTCCTCCTTTGGCAACTGAAATCCAGTGACTGCAAATCAGGCATTGCTTTGACCGCTGCCTTGTTCCAACCCCGCTTGCCTTTCTTGCAGACCTCCAGTCCCAGCTGCCGCCGATCCAGCTCTGACATCGTCCATGAGAGCACGGATGGTGCCAAGGCCCAGAGGGAGTGCCGGCTGCGGCCGCATTTCAGTGACCCCATGCCAACAGACTCAGTGAAGAGGAAGCAGCTGGAGCTGAAGATTGCAGCTGCAGCACGGCAGCATGCACAGAAACGCCGGCAGGAGCGAGACTACGGTACACAGAGTCTGCACTCTGTGGTGGTGGGCCAGATGCTTAGACCTGCTATTCTGGTGTAATATTCTAGTGTAAATATGGTGTAACTCTACTGACCTGGGAGAGGGAAGCATTCCAGATTTAACCCTGATATACCAGAAATCGAGATCTATCCTGCTGTGTCTCTGTCCCTGTCTGGCAGATGGCAGTGGGAGAGAGAGTCCAAACAAGTTCACAGGCAGAGGCAGTGCAGGGAAGACAGGCTTCACCTGGGAGCCAATTACTTCTGTTCCCCACTCCCTAACTTTCCAGCAGCAAAACAGGAGCGTAGACAGCCAACAGCCCTGCTTTCATCAGATCTCCCCACCGGGGCTCCTGCTGTTTGTGGCTGTGCCAATTTGAGTTCCCCAGATGAGCTCTGATCAGCTGGCAGTGCCTGTAATGATCTGTGTCTGTTCTCAGGTCCAGTGGTAGCAAAAGCCAACCTTGGCCATGGCAGCAGCTTTGACGAGACTCGCCGTGCCCCACGTGGCTCCCTCCGTTCCAGACATCACTGGAGCAATGTCAGCAGCCTGAGCACAGACAGCGGGATTGTGGGCGTGAACGATGTCCGTGATGACCTGGATCCCAGTGAGGCCACCCGGACCAAGTCTGCAGAAGTGGAGAGGGCAGACAGTGGCATTAGCCAGATGTCAGCCAGGAAGTGGAGGAACAGGGCATCTGAAACACTGAGCTCCCTGCAGGCCTGGGAAGCCCACCGGCCCTGTACCGACTGTGGAGAAAGGGACCTCCCAGTAGAGACAGATATGCAGAACTGCAATCAGAGGAGGGCTGACCTCTGTGAGAAGTGTCGCAAGCGCAGGACAGAGCGCAAGGAGTCGGTGCTGGAGTTTGTCAACACGGAGGCCAGCTATGGAGAGGACCTGCGCATCATCAAAGAGGAGTTCTATCTCCCCATGCAGGCAGCTGGGCTGCTGAGTCAGGAGCAGCTTCTTGGCATCTTCAGCAATATTCAGGAGCTCATTGACCTCAATGAAAGCTTCCTGGAGATACTTCAGGAAGAGATCGATCAGGCCTTTGATCAGGTATGATGCCTGTGTGCTGAACTGGGCAGATAGGAATAGGTTTTGTGTTAGTGAGGCAGCACAGCTGGAGTAGGGGGATAGGGAGGTAGGATCGTGGGTTCTGTCATTTCCCCAGTCCATTCTCCCTCAATTATTGCAAACCAGTGATTGCAGTAGATCTGAGCCAAGTCACAGCTGCTGGCCTCACTGCTATGGAATCATAGAATGGGCTGGGTTGAAAAGGACCACAGCGATCATCGAGTTTCAACCCCCTTGCTATGTGCAGGGTCGCCAACCACTAGACTGGGCTGCCTGGTCATCAGCCATTTATCCCGTTAAGGACCTAATTGCCCCATTACTATAGTTAGCTTTAAGCCAGATAGCTTGGACACTTTTAAGAGTGTGACCGCAGAGCTCAGTTTGGTCTGGCCAGCATAAGAGGACCAAGCTTGCAGGACACATGCTCACCCAATCCTGAGCTGGTGTGAGGTTACAGTTTATTGCAGCTTGCCTCTAGGCTGGTTGCAGGGCCAGACAGCACAGGCTGCTCCGTGCTCTGGTGACAACTTGCACCTACTTACAGCTCTGCATACCAGTTGCTTCTACTGATGCGACTGCCTTGCACAAAGAATTCTCCTATCCCATCAGTGTTGTGGGTAGAGGGCAGAGAAATATAAATAAGTTTCTAGAATAGCAGTTGCTGCAGAGGACAAATAAACAACTTCACACCATCCTTTCTTTGAAGAACCAAACCCCACTCATTGCTTTGTCAGTTTCACCAGGACATTTGTTCTCTAGGAAACCCATCCTTCTCCCTCTCTCAAACCCTGTGCATCAAACTGAGCAATGTGTCTCAGAAACTGACAGCCTCTCTCATGCACCTGGCACACTGAAGACAGATATGCACTGCAGTTGTCCTCTGTGCATAATTTCTTGAGACACTGGCTTCTACAGAGCTGTGGATTTCCCTGTTTCCTCCTCCATGTTGCTCTTTGCAGTCAGAGCTCAGTACTGCATCAAAAAGCTGCCAGCAGAGAATTGCTCCCTCTCTTGCTGCTGAAATGTGTAGTAATTGCAGAGTGTATCAGCATGCACCTAGACAAAGATAAAAGCATGATGTGGCACAAGATGCTTGTATTTCTGATTAGTCTGGAAATCAAATTGACTATGAAATTTATTTTTCAATTAAGCATCAAAGTAGCCAGTAGACGTGCAACTGATGGAGATCCTGCTTCCCAGCCAGCCCAGCTGCTCAGAACAAATGCAGAAAGTTGCTAACTGCCATGTCTGTTCCCTGATTACATGCCTCCCCTGCCCATCTGAACCTAAACTTCCTCTGTTAATTTATGCATTGCTGCATTAGTCTTATGGCAGACCTGCCAGCAAGAAGGGCCCCTTAAAACCCTCCTGACTAGAAGGCTGACTCTGGCCTTTAGCCCCTGGTCTGTTGAGCTGGCTGAGCCCACAGAAGCAGAGAAGACATTTCTTTACATGTAGAAGAGCAAGCAGTTAGGGCAGCTTCCCTTCACCTTCCCATGTGCCACTTGCTCCCTGACATGCAGGGACTGCCTTTCCTCCAACAGGGTGAGCCCAGTTATTTGCTCACCAGATCCTACAGCAAGTTTGTAGTGACAGGACTGAATGCAGCTCTGTGCTTGTGCTTCTCCTGAGCTAACCTAGCAGGGGCTGTATTGCATGCTTGCAGGGGGATGATGACCTGATGACCGTGTGCATCGGCGAAATATTTCTAGAGTTCGTCAACATGTTGCCAGCCTTTCAGACCTACTGTCTTCAGCAGTCCTCCTCTGTGAACATGCTCAATGCTCTGGAAAAGGAGAAAGAGTTGCTCAGGTGAGAAGAGAGGGCACCAGGCTGAGGGCAAAGCCTTTGTTGGCTCAATTAGATCGAAGTTTTGATGCTAATATTCATTTGGGATAAACTGCAATGTCTTGGGGTGAGGAGCTTACTTTATGCTTCAGAATATGTTCAGCCCTCAGTATGCTCAGTGAAGCAGCCTGTTGGTGTCCATCTGTGTACGGTATTTTGTGGTACCAGTGTTTGCCCACTGACCACAGAGCTTAGCTTTTGCTAAACAATACCCGGCTAAGAACATTCTCAGTCCCTGCACCAGAGCACCAGTGGTTTGGATTTCCACTGGGAAAAACCACTGGGTGAAGTATGCATGACTTGAATGTTTCCCATTTCTAGCCCCAGCCTGCGGGGTGAGTCATTTCTCTGTTTCCACTGCAACAGCTATAAAGTGATGACAGTACCAAATTCTTGTTTAGAGAGCTTTGCAATCAAATGATGAAAGAACCTACAAATTTATGTAACCTGATAGAAGCTGATGTATCTGCCTTGGGCCTATGTCAGTGTGTACCAGAGAAAGATCACACCCTCACTGTTCTACAGTGATTAACAGATGACTGCTAAGATGTTCCATTCTAGCATACCAGGCCCCTTGTCACAGTTCTGCAGCTGAGCATGGCTGCAGACATTTTTAATTTTTGAGAAGACAGAATTCACAAGGCTGCTAAAACCAGAGCAACACTCAGCAGCTGTCAGCACCTCGCTGCTCCTTTGCATTTAGGATTGCAGCATCTGCTGACAAAACAGCCGCCATTTCATTCCTTCTTCTTAAATCCCTGCAGAATATTCCTCAATGTGTCCCAGAATGACAACACAGCACTGCGACGGATGAATTTGAGGTCCTTTCTGATGGCCCCTTTGCAAAGGGTCACAAAGTACCCACTGCTGCTCAGCAGAATCATCAAGGCCACCACTGAGTACCACCCAGATCACGGCAGCCTGCGGGAGGCCAAGAGCCGCATCGAGTCCCACCTGGAGCACATCAACATGAAAACCAAGCAAGAAGGAAACACGTGGACCCTCCGTTCTTTTCGCCAAGACAGCAAGAAGAAGAGGGAAGTCATCAACATTGAAATGAGGGAAACTGCCCTCAAAACTGTGGGATGGCTGCGGGAGGAAACACGATTTGTCATGGAGGGGTCTCTGCAGCTGGCCCAGCCCCCTGACGGCCAGTGGGTAAAGAAAGGCAGCAAGACCCTGAAGTTTCAGAACATGCAGGTCCTCCTCCTGGTGAATATGAAACGTGTGTCTGAATCCAGCCTGGAGTCAGCTGAGCCCGGGCCTGTGAAGGATGCCGTGCTGGTACTCATCAGGGACAAAAATAATGGGAAATTCCATTTGCTCAGGGAGCCCTTGAGGCTGAGTAATTGCATTGTCTCCACTGATCCTGACTGTGACGACACTTTTGAACTCATTGAAATCAGGAGGGAGGCGTTTGTGTTCCGGGACAGCGACCGGGCACGGACTCACCACTGGTTCCGGCAGATCAGGCGGTACTCGCGGGAGTTGGGCTCCTGGAAGAAGCGTCGGAACGCGCTGCCCAACATCATGATCAGCACGCCTCATACCAGGCCCTGAGACCTGTGTGGGCAGCACGCAGTGTCTTGGCCAGAGCCACGTGCGAGGACCCCTGAGAGCCTGGGTGGCTTGAATTTGCTCCGCTTCATGGACAACACAGAAAGTCTGATGCATGAACTACTTACTGAGCAGCGCTGGAACCAAGTGTTACAGCCTAATCCTGGTCTCCGGCCTCAGGACTCAGAGCCTGTTTGTGGCTGATGTACATACACAGAGGGGCCTGCTGAGGAGCAGACCTCTGGAGGAAAATAATGAGTTTAACTTGTTAATATTGCACTGTGGGAGAATGACGTATGATGCTTGCATTTGCATGAATTCTGTTGAAAGCCAGTCTTGATAACATGAGAGAGGTTTCTACCATAGACTATATTTCATCAGCATTAGGTAAAGTCAGGGTCAAAATTAGGTGCAGTATTATGCAGAACAGGAGGAAAGTTGGAGAAAATGTTTTCCATCGCTACTCCTAAGGACTGTATTTCATTTATCAATTGTATCTTCAGTCACAATACTTGTTTTAAAAGGTCTTTCGTATTTAATCCCAGTCAAGTAGGAGTCAATTTACTCTGATCCAGCTGCATGCACACAGCACAGGAAGGTCAGATGATAAAAGGGGTTCTTGCTCTCTCACTTGTGCACCCCAAATACATGTAAAGACTGTTGGAAGAGCAGTATCCCCCCGCTGGAAGTCTGTATTTAATGGACTTAGAGACTGAAACATTACAGTGCATCTAAAATATTTCAGAACTGTATGTAAATATGGCTCTGCTACCACTAATAGTGAACTTAAAATGCAATTATTTAAATGATGTAATCTAGTGTATTTCAAAATTTAACTGAAAGGAACAATTTACATTGTCCTGTAGAGAAAACATAAAAGGTTTTAATAATTATGTTTCAATGACTTTAGGTGGGTATTTTTTATAAGAAATATTTGGGTTTTCTGGAGTAGATATTTCATTTGATGTGAGTGACATTTGAGTGAACGCCTGCCTGTGTCTCATGAACAGAATTCAGAGGTAGTCCTAATGAAACTGGGAGAACAGTGGTGCCCTGCTGCCCTAAGAAACAGTAACTGGCACGAAGAACTGTGTCTTGCCTGGGCAGGTCAGGCCCCTGTACATGAGACGTGAGAGCTGAAATTGAGACCACAAACCTCCCCTGTAAGGTCCAGCCTCTCTCAGTTCCTCGGCAGGGAAATTACTTGAAGATGAGCGATGGTAAAAGGCAAAAAGGCCCTAACCTTTTCAGCCTGACATTACCACTGACTGTGGCCCTACGATTACACCATCAGCAAAATGTCACGCTGCGACTAACACGACAAAGGCCATGTTACAGCCCGAGAGGCTAAATTAAAGGAGCCTGAATTTTGGTTGGCGAATCTCAGAGAACAGTCCTTAAATGTTCATTCAGTTCCCCAGGGTAAGGACGAAGCCAATCAGCAGTATTCGCCATCAACAAGATACTTCTGATACACACAAGGAGCATATTTGTGTATCTCTCCAGAGATCAGCATCAGCTAGCTCACAGACAAAGGCAGACAGGGATGTCTCTACAAAGGTGGGTAGGCTCTGATCTGTAAGGTTCCCATTGACCCAACACTTAAGTAGGCCTCCACGGTGTATCCCTCTGCTGCAGCTGCTGGAGCTCTGATGCTTAAGAAGATACCAGCAGTGAAACATGGTTGCTGGCTGCATTTAGTGCTTTGTTTTGTCCATGAGAAAATAGGAGTATTTGCGTCCTCTGGAGACATTGCAAACACATATCCAAGATGAGGGTGGCAGCACGCTGCAGTGAGCCATAGCTGGCAAAATGCCTGTCAGGGCAGCAGCACAAGTGAGCTGGCATTCCCTCCAGCTATTTCTAGCTGTTAGACAACAAATTGTTTGTTCCCCAAAACATGCACTGAACAGCCAGTGAATAGCATGAGGCATTTATTTTAATTTGTTGTTTGTTTTTCAAATAAATTGACACAAAAGCAGAGCAGCTGCTGGATGAAGACTTCGGCGATGCTCTCATGACAGATCCTCATCGAACCGCCTTTGAGCCTCATTCTCATACCATGCAAAAAACAACAGCTTGTTGTGCCTTCATTTTCCTCCCACGATCAGAGCAATGCAGCATCCTTCTCTTCATTACCTCCTGTGGCAGTTGTGTTAAGAGAAGACATAAGGACAGTAAGCATAATATATTATCCAAATGGCAAGTGGCTTTCACAGCCACAGAGAGCTGCTGCTGCGTCCTGAGATGCCAATTACTTTACAGTGTTTTTCCAGTTCACTCCAATTCACACTCAAAACCAGAGGTGAACTGTTGGTACACTCATATATTTAAATCAAGCTATGGCTGGTCTCCTTGGCTGCTCCAAAAGGTTAGGGAACAATAAGTATATGGAAAAGGTCTAATTTTCAGTATCAATCTTGCATTTGGATGATCATTCTGTTTTCCAGGTTCTGGGTTCTTCTAATTATGACAGGAAATAGGCAGTGTTTGCAGCAGCCTGCCTGGCTATTTCCTCTGCACCAAGCACACTCCCCAAAGAAAGCCCATAAATAATTGCCCTGTGTTGAGTTACGAACAGAACGCGTACTTGGTGCTGTAGCCCTGTCCTAAAACAAGGGAACAGTACAAGCTCTTAGGTCTGGGACATCTGCTATGGTAAGGGACAGACTGATTGTGGAACATGCCCCACTAGACAGTTGTGTTTTGAATGTTATCTTCTATGTATCCAGTGTGTACTCAGCTGCTTGCCTGCTTTTAAATTACAGGTGTTGAAGGGAGCACAGCACTGAGCGGTCTCTTCGGCCCTGCAAACACTCGTGCTGTGGGGTGAGCCTGCACAGGAAGGGTGAGCAGTGCCAGCACATTAACGTGGCAGTAAGTTTCCATAATCCTCAAGTACCTTTTTGAACCTGGATGGTCTTTCTCCTGGCAAGTTGCAGGTCTTTCAGTATCACATGCACACATCTTCCTGGGCAGCCCTAGAGATTAGCCATGCGGTGTTTTTCCATTTCTGATTAACCTGACAAAATGCTGTCATAACACGTGGTACTTGGAAGCAGGCTACAAGCCAAGGAAGTCATTATTTGTTCCAAACTGGCTTTCTTAGGGCTGTACAATACTTTTATGCCTCTCAAAATTCATGTCTGACAAAACTAAGATTACTTTTCAAGACTCCTTCCAACTAATCTTGTTGGTATAAGGAGGACAGAAGGAAGAGAGATCCTTCTGGATAAAGGGGGAAAAAAAGAAGAAAGTCACATTACTCCCTTAATTCATCACAACTCATAAAGAACCATTAGCAGGAATTTAGTATGAATCTTACTGGTAACTTACCGGGGAAAAAAAAAAGTGGGAAGAAATTGTCAGTCTGTATCACAGAGTTTGAGATCAAAAGGCACCCAGAAAGACAATGCTGGATTAAGATTTCCCCATGAGATCAGGACCCAAAGACAGAAAGAAAATCCACTTCAGGAGTAAGCATGCTGGGTGGGAAAGCCTGGGGAAAAAAGAACAACAGACAGGAGAAGATAAAGAGTAACAGCTTTAGAAAGCAGAGACTTCTGCTTTAGAGAAATATCTGTTTTTTAGGCTGAAGGAACTGGTGAATCTCATTCTGTCCCCAGTGTCTTCAGGGGGACAAGGATTCACATCTTCTGGCATCACGTCAAAGATACCTCTTCAGTGTTTATGGATAAAGCATCTTTTTGGGATGTCAGTTTTGGTTCCTCTTAGTACACATGCTGAGGATCTTACATTTTCCCCAACAGAAGCAGTTTGGACGTTTGTATACCTATAGTGTGAATGTGCAACTGAACAAACGTTCAGACAAGAGCATGCTCCCCCTTCTTTCAAGCAAGGGCTTGTTTTGGGACAGTCACTCTCCCCTCAGGCAGGGCAGTGCCCCAGTGATGGCTGCCCAGAGCAAGCCAGAAGTGGCAACGAACACAGGGAGAAAAACCTGCCTGGAAATATGTATCTTAAGTAATTTATCCCTGGCCCACAGCAAGTGTACAAGAGATGCTGTGCCATAAATGACTGTTCCTTTCAAAGTCAAACGCTTAGTGACACCCCTTGAACTGAACAGGCAGCCAGCTCTCTAGACAGCCTCTACATTTTAACGGCGCTGCACCACATGACCAAACAGCAGACAGTCCTCTGATGAGGGAGGATGGCTGCTGATGAGCAGCCGAGGTCAGTATCCACACGCAGACCCAGGAGTCATCCATGTTTACTTTCTGCTCTTGTTAATTGCCTTGGTGTGTAATGACTTTACTGGCTGAAAAAGGGGAGTAAGGTTCTACAGCACAGAAGGCATTGCTTTGCAGTAAAGGAAGGTATGTTGTTTGCCCATAGAGAAAATCCTCAGCAGTTCCTAACAACTGGAAGCAGTTAATGACTGCAAGAAAATCAGACAACTTAGCAGATAGCACTACAGCTCAGCAAACACTTAAATCAGGTACCACAGGGTGAGGAAGGAGCCTCCCTCTGTGTGCTGGCACATGGTGTGCAGCGCTGTGCAGTGAACCGGGCTTGGAGCAAGCACCTCTGAAAAGGATTGTTTCAGCTAGAGCTGTTCCTTAATCCAGTTCATTGCACAAAGATGTGTGCTGGCACCAAAAAAGGGCAGTCTGGAGGTGATGATGTGCCCTTTAACAACTGCCAGCTCAAAGAGGACGCTGGGCTCAGGCTGCAGTTTATCAATTCCAACAGACAGAGCCAGTTAAACAACCACCCTGACGTCTCCGCTGCATCCTGTGCTATGGCACTGCTCACCCCTATTTCCTGAATGGTTTCAGGTCAGTACTTTCATTGATCTGAAAGGATTGAACAGGCAGTGCTATCAACAAATAACAGTTAATCAACTATTTGAGCGCCCTTTTTACTGAAGCAAAGAAGCAGCGGAGAAATGACGTCAAGATGGAGGAAAAAAGCTGTAAGCAAACACAAAGACAATCCAAGAGAGTGCTTGCTGGAACACATTTCAGGCCAAAGTGGTTCAGAGAACAGCTGTGCTGGCTGTTGAGTCAGACTCTCTGGTGCTCCTGCACTGACTCACTGCCTCCCCTCCCAGCTGCCCGCACATGCTGCAGTGTTCAGTACCAAGTAGGAGTTAGTTCGGACTTCTATTATGAGCCATCAAGCTTCTGCAGCCTTCAGAGCTCTGCCTCTCCTTGGCATTCCTGCTCAGGAACATGATTTAGCAGAAGGTTGTTAGAGTTAGGGTTGTATGGTTAGGCTGTGGTTGGATTCTATGATCTTTAAGGTCTTTTCCAACCTGAGTGATTCTTTGACTCACCTATTCCATTACTGCTGGGAAAGGGAAGGGTCAGAGAGGAGAGACCTCCAACTCAATTCTGAGTCTTCCCTTCTTTCCTCTGCTCCCAACTGTGGGACATAAGTACAGCTTATTTAGCACCAGCATTAAGAGCAGATTCACCACCCAGGCCAGGAGATCCTACGAGCTATCTGTCCAGAGGAAGCTGCAGAAAGATGCACGTACCCATCTTTTCCTGCTGCTGCTCAGGGAGAATGTTTGCTGTTTCTTTTTCCCTTCCCCAGACCCAGCTTGGGAAATACGCTATGCAGATTGCCTATTGCAAGTAATGTTTTTCCAGAGAAAGATGCTAAGCTCTCACAGAACCTAGGAACAGGAAAGAACAAGGGGTTTGCTAAACACCCGAGGGGGAGGTGACACTGCAATGTCAGGCACTTGCTCTTCATACAGCCTTTGACAAAACAATGCCATGACTTGCATACTTTAGAAGCACTGAGACTTGCTCTTCCAGTTGTCCCTCTCACAGCTCCTGCATGTCTGCACGTGTGGCACAACACTGCTGTCTCACCAGCTGCAGAAAGCCACAGGAGATGCAGAAGCTGGCAGATCTGGCATCTACTGAGAAACTGTTTAAGTATATGGGATTCCACATCAGGAAGCAGAGCTGTTCCATGACCAAACACATCGAGAGCTGCTGTGACACTAAGCCAGCGCAAAGCCTTAACACATGTCCTGCAACAAGAAACCCATCCTGCCAGTGGCCTCACATCCCAAGCCCACATGCCAAGAACTCTTCAACCTGAGTGGCACCAGTCTGATGCTCAGGAAGCCTCTAATTCCTCTGCTCCCACACATTTCCTGTGTAACCTTGGTCCCAGTCTCAGCCTTAGGGCGTTGTTTCATGAGGCTTTGCTTTTGATGGTGGAACTGGCTTAATTCCTTCCTTCCTCCCACCTCCACAGGGTTGAAGTGAGAAAGAAACAAATAGTGGCACAAGGTGAGAACAAACACACACTTTTAAAGCTAGACTCAGCACCTAGGGCCTCAGGAAGTTATACCCTCATTTTCCTCAGCCGTGATAGGGGGACACTGCTATCTGCCTATGTTATGTGGCAGGATGAGGACAAATGTTAAATATTATGAGACGCTCTGAAGATAAACCTTGCTGCATCTTGGACATGGCATTAATAGCCTCCTCTATATCTCTCCATTTTAACTTGTTCAACAAGTCAAAATTAGTTATTTTTTTAAGCCTATCAAGTCTGTGTGCAGCTTGACTAGCGCTCTGCTTGCCAGCTGGTGATAGTGCTCCATTTAACAGCATACACCCAAAGTGAGCCCACATACAGATGAAGGCTGAATTTGAACTATGGTACTTCAAGTTAAGCTCCCAGGAAGGAAAGACAGGAACATCAGATAATCAGACAACAGGCAGAGTTACCAAATGGCCAAAGAACAGTTTTTATTGGCCAATGTAACCAAGAAATCATTTTCTTCCAATAAACAAAATAAAAACATAACTGAAACAATGGCAAATATTTGTCAACTAATTGAAACACTAACTAACCCACGTAAGCTTGATTGTTCATATTCATCCTCTGGAAATATTCCTCCTTCTAAACAAGCTGTTTCTCTCCCTTGCGCTACTGCACCCCCTAAAGTAAGAAAGTGGAAAGACTCAAAGTCATCGAGGACAAGAGAACAAATGCACTGGGAGGTCTGGATCTGTCCATTTGCACAGATGGAAAAGGCTGTTGGTATCTGCAAATATCTCACATGCAAAGTATCTGACACTAATAATTTCCATTTTGGGGGGAATACATTTTACTATGTGAACTTTTTTTTTTTTTAAAGCCCAGGAAACAGTACAGTCATGGCCTATACAGGTTGTTAAAACACAAATCCTACCTGCAGTTTGTCAGTTAACATTTCTCTATTCATAAACTTTGCTAATTCAAAAGAAAATAAAAAGCTACAGAGTTCCCAATGTAAATGATCATGTTGAAACTCAACATTGACTCATGTCAGTAAATGAGACAGCAGTCAGTGAAAGCAGATAGTTGAGAAAGCCTTGTACACTCTGGTAGCAGGCACCTCGGAGGGAAAAATGAGTAAGATGCACCCAGGTGTAATACACTGATTCCAAGGGCAGATACACTAAATGGAGCCATTCTAAAAGATCTGGTTAATAGAAGTTATGCAAATCTGTTCAACTTAACTGAAGTAGGTGAAAATTAAAAAAAAAACAACCAACAAAAAGCAAAACAACCCAATGTCTTAGAAAACCCATACTGATATTTATAGACTGTGCTTTTAAGATGTCACAAACATCTGCACCAAGCTGCATGCTGTGCACAGATCTTTAAAGGGGTGTGGGTAGAAACAGCTGCAGCACAAAACTCCCAGAGCACTGAAGCAACACTACGTACCCAGTGAGAATTCTGGCTTGTGGGAGTTACTGACCACCTGCTGTTGTGCACACAACAGCAACGTGTGTTCTGACAGAGGAATTTAACTGGGAACAGAGGGCCTGCAGCGCTAACCTACACGATTTTACAAAACATTTTGAGATCTAACACCCAAACTACACCTTTTGTAAGAAAATAGAGCAGCTATCGGCTGCAGTTCTTCTAAACTACTGTAGGAAGGCTTTGCTAGCATGCCTCCAAACTTGGCAACCATTTGAGGTAATCAACGATGCTATTAAAATCAGCATCCTTCATTTCTCTCCACCCGCACCACCCGTTGCCTCCTTATTGAGTCCTCTGATGGACAAGTCATAAACCACTTCCTCAATTTTCTTGACATCGTATTTCAGGCCGTCGTAACGCTTCCTCAGGGAGTCATTCTTCAGGTTGAGGAGACGGAAGCCCGAATCCAACTCGTTGATAAAAGTCGAGATGCGGAGCGGGCGAGAATAGTCACCGGCTGTGACGCTGTTCACTGCCAGCCTGGCCTGGGAGAAGAGGCACAAATCACCTGGGAGAACATCAGAGGAACACACTCAAGACACTCCCCGTTTCCCATCGGTTCCTTCAGCAAATGCAGCAGATCTGTTGACCAGACTCGTGAATTTTCAATCCAGAGCCTCGCTTAACACTTAATGTACCAGTGAGGAACAACCCTGACACAAGACAAGCAGTTGGCTAAAGGTCAGACTCATTCAAATACAAACCATAATTACACAAACTATTTGGGACAGTTAAAACAATAACAGCTACTTCTATGTCAAGTTTCAACCCAAACCTTTGCATGGATATCTTCCCTACCAGCTCACTGGCCAGAGTTAAGACACCAGAAAGGTAGTCTTCAATGTCCAGGTGGAAGCCCCTCTCCCGATCAGCTTCAACTAAGAAAAAAAGCGAAGTGGTGATCAGGTGATAATGAACATGAGCAGAACCAGCAAGCTGAAATTGCATTTATTTATTCGAGCTAATTTGAAATATCAAATTTACGAAATATTATTACAAAAGAAAAAACATCCCTTTCCTGTATATGATGCAATTACTGCCTCTTCATAGCATTTTGATTTAGCATCTTTTATATGCTCAACCAGACTTGCAATAGGTTATAATTAGTCTAACAAAATAACTGAATTTACATAGAGCAGAGAGGTCTACAGTTTTTTTGGTGTTTTTTTTTTCCCCTCAAATCCTGTGCTCTGAGAGGCAACAGTTCTCTTACAGCATAAAAAAAATCTTTTCTTTTTAAACACCAAACCAAACGGTGAGAAAAACAAGCAGTCACCCTTTGTGTTATTCTTTTGGCAGAGAGGCAGTCTGCATGCACACTCTTTGCAATGAAGAACTTACTAATGCATAGCTACTTTTGTTTACATTCAGTTTTCCAATTCCAAGCTACAGCACCTGAAAACTTCACAGGTTTTCTCTCTTCTGTTACAACGCACTTACTCCCAAGTATTTCTGCAGCAGCTTCTCGGGTCACCAACGTTTCTGTCTCCAAGTAGACTACAAACGCTGCCAGAAACACCAACCGCTGAAGCACAAACCTCCAGTGCTCATGAAATCTGTTGAAGGAAACACCAAATCATGATAAAAAAAATAAGCAACATCCATTACTGAGGAATGAGCATTTCAGATATCTGCAGTATAGACTGTTTTCTACCATTACACATTACACTCTGCAAAATTATTTGCTCACCAAACTACACTAAGCTTGAAATCCATTCCTCAGTCCCCCAGTACTATTCCTTTGCTGAACATCAGCACTGCTCACAGCCCTCTCACAGCTGCTCAGCTCACTGTTTCTCAGGCTGTCATACCCACCAGACAATTACCTCCTTCCCTCCCGTCTCCCAGCAGCACTTCTGAGCTGGCATGCTTGGTATATGATTTTTTCTTGCTACATACTGTCCCCTTCTGGCGGCAAATAAAACAAAGGCGATGACTTCATTTATGATCTGTAGTATCAAAGAGCTGTTTTGTGGCAGATTTACAGCTATGTTTTCAGAAACGTCCCTAACCTAACAGCTTAACTGAAATTAATGGAGCAGCGAATGCTTTCATAAACAAGGGATGCTCCCAACAGAACACCAATTTCTTAAGTTTTTCTAAGATCTCACACTTGTCTACTGCTCATCAGTTCTCAAACAGAACCACTGGGCCCACAAGCCTTTAAATCACTCTTCTAAAGTAATGGTGCCAAATACACTCGCCCCATGCTCAGATCCACCTGTAATACTGATCAGCAGGAAACTTGGTCTTCAGAGATTCCATCTGTGTTCTTACTGTACCGAAGTGTTCCCGAGCCTTCTGACATTTCTTTGGTACTGAAAAAGAAACAATGCAACTTTCAGTGCTTGACAAAGAACAGGGTTTTGAAAACAAAGAGTTGTAACTCACTAATGCTCCTCTGAACACACTGCTCACTTTTGTCCAGGACAGCTCACCAACATTCAGGTTGCTCTGAAAAGTCACAGCTACAGCACCAGGCACAGGCAGGCCACAAATACTCCAGAGTTTTGGCTCCTTAGCTTTGAATTTGAGACAAGACACTCCAGTGTTACTTAAGGAACACTGCTAATGGCTACTAATTATTTCTGCCATAGAACTTAAAGCTGTGGGTGAAGTCTGCATTTTGTAGAGGATATTGACTGAAGAAAACACCAGGTCATACAATCACACAGAAGTAATGGGAGATGCGAACAGACAGAGAGGAAGGAAGGGATGAACACAGGATCAATGTGTTATTCACCTGCAGACTGAACCAAGGAGGAAATAAGGCTGGTGCCCATGCATGGAACAGGGCTACAAATGTGTAATGATGAGGGACAGATGAGAAAAGGAGATGGGCAAAGGCTGAAAGGGACATCGAGTGCAAGGTCAGACAGACCCCATCTGAGGTAGAAGAGCTGTACTTTTAAAGGCCTGTACGTGCAGTACTGCAGCCTGACACAGCAGCAGCATGCATTGCACTGAATGGTTTTGTCATCAGTCACCACAAAAGAGCTGCAGCCCCACAATGAAAGAGGTCAGCTGGCAGCTCCATGGGAGCAGATTTAGCCAAGAGGTATTTTAAATCCCTGGAGAACGGGGGAAAGCCACTGTGCAATATAATGCTTTAAGTACCACCAACCAGTACAGAAAATTGCCTTCTACCAAACTTCCAGTTATCACACAGTTCTATGAAGGTAACTCGAGCCATCCCTTGCCCTTCCCTTTGGCATTACAGATTGCCTTGCCTGGTTTAAATCTGCTAAGTGCTTTCATTGGATCTCTGCTGTCTCGTCGAGTTTCCATCTCTCTACTCCAACTGCTGATAAAAGACTCATTATAAAGGACCTTGCAGCAGGGAGCAGCAAGCTGCCACTTGTGATGGCAAGATGACAAGAGAGGGCACAGCACACAGCACTCAGCACAGCTTCTTTTGGCAGCAGCACCAGCTCAACCGGCACGGAAATACAGCTGCAGTGACCGAGCGCCATTACTTTCACTGTCACCTGTCACCTTCGAGGAATTATTAGTATTAAGAAAGCTCAAATCATAGATATCAACGCAGAGTGCAGGGCTAAACCCCTCGGTGCTACAAAACCCCGGGCTACTCGTCCCCACGGCGACTCCCGCGTCAGCTGGCTTTATTTCCTTTGCAACGAGCCGCCTGGCACTCACTGTCCTGGAATCCGTTCCCTTGGTGCACCCCCTGCAGCAGCGTCAGCATCTCGCGGGCCGTCTGCTCCAACGCCTGCACGACCTTCCGGATCTCCTGCGGACACAGATCGCCGCCGAGCGGCTCAGCGCTCCGCCCGCCGCCCGCCGCCCCCCGGCCCGGCCCCGCGCCCACCTCTCGGATGTCCTGGTCGGCCGTCAGCGCGCCCTGCAGCGCCACGAACATGGCGCTCACTGACATGGCGCCGCCGCCGGCTCCCGCCTCTGGGGCCTCCGAGCGGCTCCCGCCGCAGCGGGCTGCCCCGCGCCGCGCCTGAGCGTCGCCGGGCTGCCCCGCGCCGCGCCTGACGGAGGGAGCCGAGAGCCGGGCCGGCGAGGGAGCGGAGAAGGCGGGGAGCGGCCGGCGCCACGGCGTGGAGCCGCGAGGGCTCCGCCCTGCGCTGCCGCCGCCCGTGCGAAGGCCGCGCTGCGCGGGGACGCGGCCCCGTTGCTAGGAGACGGGGCGCGAGGCGGGGGGCGAGCAGCGGCCCGTTGCTATGAGGCGGATAGGAGGCGGCGCGCGCCTGCGCGTAACTGCTGCCGCGCGACGCCGCCGCGAGGGAGGATGACGCACTTCCGGCGGCCGCGGCGGCGAGCGGGGCAGCATGGCGGCGGCGGCGGCGGCGGCGGGGGAAGCCGGGGCGCCAGCGTCCTTTTTGTCCCTGGAGCCGCAGCTGCAGCGCACGGTCCAGAAGAAAGTGCGGCGTGTCCGCAAGAACCGGGTGGCCGAGGTGAGTGGGGCTCCGGGAGGGGCGGGCCGACCCGACCTGCTCTGTCCCGATCCGTTCGGCGCTGACGCGGCCGTTGTGCCCCGCAGGAGGAGCTGACGCCGGGCGTGGTGTACGTGGGGCACCTCCCGCGCGGGCTGGTCGAGCCGCAGCTCCGGCAGTACTTCGAGCAGTTCGGCGCCGTGCGGCGGCTGCGGCTCTCCAGGAGCAAAAAGGTACGTAGAGCCTGGCGGCCCGCGACACCCCCCGCCCTCAGCGCCGCGTGGAGAACTCGGCTGCGATTTCCTGAGCGGGCAGAGGGAGGCTCCCCGCCGCTCGTCTGAGAAGCGCCTGAGACATGAGGGCTTGAAGTTGAAATTGAGGGTGAAGACGTAGGGCTGGCGGTATCAGAACCGCAGCTGAGCGGTCACAGCGGCTGTTAATTGGAGCCCCTCGTAGATGTACGGGTGTGAGAAGTGTGAGCGGAGTGCAGTAATTCACGGTCGAACCTGAAATGTCGCAGGAAGGGCTGTGCTGTCTCACTTGTGGCTTTGTGTTTCTGAATTTATCATCGTGGTCTAGCATTGCTGTATGAATAGCAACAGGAAGGTGAGCGTACATTGCTAAACAGTTTGTTTCATGCACAGGTGTATGCTTAGGAATTCTATTTGACCAATGTGGGACTAAATCTGGTGCTTTTTGAGAACTCATTGAGCTGTGTGAAAATGCTTTTATGCAGCTGAAAATGTGCATTAGCTCTGGAAGCACAAGACATTGTAATTCAGTTTTTCAGGTACCAAAGCATCATTTCAGGTCTCTCTGCTGTTGCTTGCAGACAGGAGGGAGCAAAGGCTACGCCTTCATCGAGTTCGAGTGTGACGATGTGGCTAAGATTGTTGCAGACACTATGAACAATTACCTTTTTTCTGAAAGACTGCTCAAGTGTGAGTATGGACCAAAGTGCACGTTCTGTAATGTGCAGAGCAAATCTGTGTATGCTTGTGTTATTTTTCGGGGAGCTATATGAAGAATCTTGTTTCTTTAATGGTTTTTCTTTGTCCCCAAGGGATTTTCCTCTGTGTTGATCACATAGCACAGTCTCATGGAGGGGTGGGGTTGCTGTAGAGTCCATTCCTTTAATGCAGATTTTTTTTTTTTTCATTTAAACTGTTGTAGCTGTGTAGTTAGGGGTTCTTTTGGTTAAAAGGTTAATGAAATTAGCAAGCTTCTTAGGTTCTTAAAGGAATGTGGCTGCATCAGTTCTGAAAGTTGGGTCTCTCTGAGTGCTCTTTTGTTCCGTTCTTCCGCTCCCTTTCTACTGCATATTCAGTTACTTTCTGCCTTCTGCATTCCTACGAAGCTGTAACAGTGCTTGCTATGCCTGTGGGTAACGTTACAATGGGACCCGACTGGCATTGGTGAGAAGAGCAGCTTTGCTATCACCTGCTGTCGTATGCCTGTGGTACAGGTCAGTTCATGCCTCCTGAAAGGGTCCACGCAAACCTCTTCAAAAACAGCGACCGGAAGTTTCAGAAGCCCTCTCAGCCAGCAGTGAAGCGGTACAATAAGGTCCGTTCCCTCGTTGAGAAGGCAAAGATGGCAAAGCGGCTGCTGCGGAAGGAGAACTGCTTGCGGAAGAGGTTGGCTGAAAAGGGGATCAAGTACAGCTTCCCTGGATTTGTAAGTCTGGGGTGGTTTTGATGAGGTTTTGATTTGTAGGTCACAGAAGAGCAATAGGGGCTTTTCCTAAGCTCTAGACTGTGTGTAATTTGGGTGATTCCTGTAGCAAAGCTTTTGTAGTTAAAAAGCAAAAAAACCTATAGACTGTTAGGTAAGAGTTTACATCTTCACGTGGGAAGTTTGTAGTGATACACCTCATCCGTTTTGCTTCCTAGGCTGCACAGGGCCTTCCTGTGAAGAGGAAGAAAGTTAAAACATCCAAGGCCAAACAGAACGTTTCTTTGACTAGCCAGGTAAGACCAAACAGTGCTGGTGCTGCCAGCACCCCAACTGTCCACCCTGAGACAGATGGTTCAAGTCTGCAGCTGGTTTCTTTCTGCTGATTTAAGTGCCTGGAAACCTGGGCATTGTTTTCCTCTGGGAGATTTGTGTGACAAAAGAGGGTCCTTTGAGGTGGATAAACCCATTGGAATGGAAGACAGTGTTTGAATCCCCATAGTTCTTTGTCCCATTGGGGTAATTTGCAGCAAAGGCTTCTGCTTATGCATTATAGTTAGCAGTTTGCCATCTTCCTCATGTTCTCCAGGCACGATTTTCCAGTATTTAAAAGTTAATACCAGCTAAAACTAGCAGGATGAAAGGAAGCATCAGGTCATCAGCACTAAGATGTGGGACACCAACAGTCAAAATCTTTGAAGTATCAGCATTTTTGTTTTGTTTCATTACTGTTTTTTTAAAAAAATATTTAATTTTTTTAACTTTTCATAATTGGGATAGGGCTGTGTTTAGGAAGACAGGAAAACTCAGTTGTGAGAAATGACTGAAATCATGAGACTGTAATGTTTCTGCTCTGCTATGGGCTTGGACATGGTGACACTTCTAGTCTGAGGAAGTACTGCCTGAAGGCAGTTATAAAAACAAAACGGTTTCCCTAAGATGTGGAGGTTGTGAAGGGAGGTGCCTTGTGGTACCACTGAGGCAGTGACAACGTTTTCTGGCAGATGCTTTGCAATGAATGATGTTTTTCTGATCTCTTCAGGATCCTACTCCAGTCTGTACGCCTACAGTGCTTGAGCGCCGGAAAGCTCAGCAAGTGGATGATGACACAGACGACAATGAAATAATGATCAAACTGCCCCCTCCAAGTGTTAAGAAAGCTGTGCAGAGACCAAAGAAACAGCCAAGGAAAAAAACCAACCTGAAGAAACAAAAGTAGGCTTAAAATTCTGACAGTCATAGCCATGTTTTTCCTCTTTCTCAACTCAAAATGATGAGGTGGAGCTTCTGCTGCCCTGTCTGTTTTTCTGACCAGACTGTCTTTCATGGGCAGGGAAAATATTCACAAATAGTTCCCCTCCTGTTAGCTGTTGGGGAGCTGTATCTTCACTGCCTGTGAAGATTTTCTTGGTTTTGCACTCATGAGTGCCTACCGTCATGCCAGAACCTTGTGTTAATTCTGTAATTTGTCTCTAGCACACACAGATTTGAAAGGAAATGTTAGGCTGTCCATGCTGAGCCTGCTGATGGCATTTGTATTTTATACTTATTAATGATGACTTAAAATACAGTTTTTAACTGTTCTTAGTTACATTGGCTTTGGTAGTGCTTCTGTTTAACTGAAAGTCTGTGCTGTATGTGAATTCTCACGTAATTACACAAATAGAAGGGGAGAGGGTGTTGTTTTTTCCCCAAGAAAGACAATCCTTGAATTTCATCTTGTTGGTGATCAGTCAGGTTTTCCCAGAGCTGTCTTGGGCAGAAACAGGACACCATGCTGCCCCAGCAAGCCATTGGCTTTAAGTCCTGCTTTCAGCAGTGCTGGGAACGTCACCCTTTGCCACAATGTGGAGTGGCCAGAGGATTTGGAAAGGGTTCAGGAAGGTGAGAAGAGATGGCGGTAGATGTGATTATAATGACATTCTCTCTGTGACTCAAATCACTTTCCTTTGCTGTTGGGGAACTGTTGGGGAAGCCAACAGTTGGGTGAGTTTTTGGGTGAGTTTTGTCTTCATATCAATCACTTGTCACTTTAGGCATGCAGTGGAGTTCCACTGAGCCTGATGATCACCGTCAGCCACTGTTGGCTGTTTTTTGGGGTGGGTGCTTCTACTTGTTGATGTGAAACAGGCAGTGTTTACACCTTAGACCCGTAGAACTTGTAGTTAAGGTTTGGAGTGTGCTTTGAGATTAATTAATGTGACCGCCGTGGTTGGCAGAAATACCAACGCACTTTGAGTGCGTTAGGAACAGATAAGCAGCACTGGAAAAGGTTACTACAAGACTTCGTACAACAGAGAGCAACAGAAGAAAAATAAAATGTATCTGCCCAGAATGAACAGTTTTCTTTTAAAATGCATGTTTTTAAACTTTGTGTTGTGGAAGTAGAGATGGCTGTTAGCAGTGTGATGCACTCAGCCAGGTCCCTTGAACGCAGCCTGACAGAGGAGGGCAGCACTGCAGCTGTGTGGGACACACTGCTCTGGAAAGCAATGTAAGTTCTGGGAATTGACCTCCCACATTTACAGAGAAACTGATCTAACCCAAGTACTTTGGAGTGACCTGCATTGGTGTGCCTGATGCACCTCTAAAATGACTTAAGAATACAGGAGAAGTCTGAGATGAATCTTAAATATTCCCATTCCTTTGGTGCCACCACCATTAATATTACTTCTGCCAAGGCTCTTCAGTTAAAGCTGCTCTTAAGACAATGTAACTTATACAGTATAGTTTCACTTTTGTTGAGTAACTCCTTCCCATGTGTCCCACTCCCTACCCTGCCTTTTAAATTTGTGCTGCTTTCTCTTCTGCTCCTCCCAGTGCCAGGTCTGCCCATGCCTGGAAGCCTCTGTGTGCTTGCTGCTTTTTTCCCTGCTGGACTCTGTGGCTTCTTTTCATACTGCCTGTCATGCTTGTCTGGTTGCACGAGCTTCCAGAGCATTACTTGCATGCTTCTGTGGATCTCTTGGAAAGGTTTGTGTATCTGAACTAGGGTCCTGGTTTCTGCTTTCTTCATGTTTGTGTGGCAGCACAAGTCTTGATAGGAAGAAGACATTCCTGAAAACTGTGTTTATAATAAGATCTGCTTCCTGCTGTAATTTTCCTTTCTTATTGGTTTTTGAATTGAGATTGACTTAGATGGTGACTCTTAAAATAAGGAAACAAAAATCTGTACCGTTTGAGTAACAGTCACTAAGCAGGGAGCTCTCAGCAGAAGGGTAAGTTTTCTTGGTGACAGTTTCTGTTTTTAGGCTGCCTGAGTTATTAATATACTGCTGTCCTGGGAGATGCGCATAAGCAGAAATTCAGACACCTGATACTTGCCAAACATATTTTCCGTAGCAAATGAACAGACGTGCTGTGTCATGAGTTATGCTTCAGTCCGTGCACTGATCTTCTTTTCTCAGCTCTCCAGTCGTTGGTTCATAAAGCTCCTGGATTTAGGGCATGCACTGTTCTTACAGTGATGCAAGGTGTGCTGGGGATTTTGTTTTCAAGGCACAGCTTGCAAGCTCTCTGCCTTTCTGTAATGAGAAACTTTCTGGACTTGGTACCTAGTACCATTTTCAAGCTTTAGAAATACAGATGCTCTTTAGCAAAGCGTACTCATTTACACTCATTAAGCTTCCTCTACTTTGCGGGAAGGGGAATGCAGCTTAGGAGTACACAGTGTTCCCCAGTATGTGAAACATTGGAAGTAAAAGAAGGAAAAAAAGGCAGAGTTAGCTGAAAAATAGAGGGAAGATAGCAATGATGAAGCCAGTCTGGAGAAAAAGGTGTGTCTGAACTTGGCAGTGTTAGATTGCTAGAAATTTAAGAAATTAAATGGAATTGTTTTTATCACCTGTTAGATGTGGAATAGGGCCCCCAGGTCTCACAGTGCATGAGCAGTGTGCTAGGAATGGATGGTCTGGATGGCAGTGCCTGCCTGTGAGCCCCAAGCGAGGAGAGCAGGCTGGGCAAGTGACTTGTTCTTGCCACTAACTAGCCTGTTTGCTTGCTTGCCTGGCTTTTAAATGTCTGCAGCCCCAAGGAACAAGGTTAAAAGCAGTTTGCAAATAGTTCATAGTGCAGGGGAAGAATGTGGCTCTGAGAGGTGGCATCCTACTCTCCATGTAAAGTACCAACAGGGGTGGGGGGTTCTGGCAACTTCTCCCTCTCCCAGCTGTCTGTGCTGAGCTGTTTGGTCCGCGTTCTGCCTGTGTGATGCAGGAGTCTGGGCAGGGCTGTTTGTGCCGTGTGCTGTGCAAATCCCTGATCCTGGGCAAGGTATTGCAGGGAGGGTAACCAGAAGCGTGTGGGATGCAGTCGCTGTCAGATGTGTTCTAGGAGCACCTACGGGTCCTCTTACACCAGATTCCCTTATTGTCCAATAAGCCATTCAAATGCATCCTATTTGGATTACAGAGTTTCCAGCCTAACCCCATGAAACATCCAACTCCAGGCGCTGACAGTCTGCACCATTTTGGCTGAGGATGCATGGAGACCAGTCTAAACTGCTTGGAATGGAGAAGGTGGGAATGTGGTGAGAAGGATCCTGTGCCACGATTCTGCCTGACATTGCTAACCCAGGCATGTCCCTCCTGCCTGGGGGCAGCAGCTGTCAGAGCCCAGGAAGCGGTTTGCTGCAGCAGTGAGAACTGCTGAAGTGAGACATTTTCTCGTGTGTGGGGATGGTGAGGCCTCTCATTGCTTCACACCCAGCATTAATTAAGCACGTGTCAGGGACAGAGCTGCTTAGCTGTCCTGGGAGCTGTGGATTACTTACACAGCTGAGTTCCTGTGGCCAGTAGCTATGTGGATCTCATATGCTGGGAAAGGATATGTTGTGAGGGGGTTCCTGCACAGCAGTGGGCTCTAATCAGAGAGGAAAATGCTGGTTTATGGTTTTCTTCAACCCTTGGGCTGCTTTACTGCAAACAGTTCCATTGTGTGCAGATTCACATTAAAGCTCCAGTGTACTGAATAATGCAGGGGTGGAAATGGGATGTGCAGCAGAAAACATCTTTGCAAGAGATGGGGGAAAAACAAGAACACAAGCAGTTCTGTCTGTTATTTGAGAGAGGCAACCAATGAAGCAGGTGGGGAGCAGGAGCTGTGGAGCACCATCCAGATGTTCAAAGCTGGATGTCAGCACAGCATCTGCTTGCTGGAGCCTTGGCAGTATCTCAGAGGCACAGGTGAAGAACGTTTTTCAGTGAGTTGGAAGTGCTCTGTTCCTTCCTTTGCATTGTTCTGGTGCTGGCTGAGATGAGGGCTTGGTGGTGAGCAGGTACTGACCTGGGGCTCAGACTGCTCTGCAGTTGGACACTGCTGCCCGTTCCCCTGGCTTGTGTGTGGTTCTGTTTCTTTAAAATGGGCAGTGCCTCTGTCATGGTGCTGTTGTCAGCATGCCCTGCAGAAGGCAGCAGCATCAGGGGGAGTGAGCGTGGTCTGTACCAGGACAGCAGCAGCACAGCTGCTTTGCTGCTGGCAGGATTTGGATTTCTGTTGGGAGAGCTGGAAAAAGAACAGTGTGACTCCAGATGCCAGGCTGAGCCTGCAGGATGGGCAGAGGAAATGTGAAACAAAGCTATAAAGCATTTCCCTCAGGTTTCCTATGTAAAGTATGATGTTCTGTGGTTTATTAATTGGGTGATGTTTCAAGGGTACTCTACTGAATTGTTTCCTGGAAGCAAAGGATCCAAGTTTGCAGTTGCTGGAGCTGCAGGGCTCTGACAGGGCAGGAGGGAGCTGTACAAGTGAAAGTCCTCAGTTTAAAGGCAGTATACACACTCCTAAGGCAAACCTTATCCTCTGGTGTAATGTCAGTGCAGTCATGTCAGATGAATTGCAGCCCTTGTTTTGGTCCTGAACTCCTGGCTCATTTTTTTTTCCACTGGTTTGTAATTTTACAAGATGAAATCCTGCTGTGTCAATACACGACAGACATTCAATCCATTGGTTGTTAAGGGCCATTTGCAGTCGGTGATTTGGACACTCAGTTCTGAGTGGGCTGCCAGTATGTGTGTGCTGTGCTGTTGTTCAATGTCAGCCCTCCTACTGAATTTTATAAGAGCATCCATTAATTTCAGTAGAAATCTGCATTTGGGGTGAAGGGTGAGCTAATCTTTAGAAAGGATCTTAATCCACTTATTTAGCCTCTTGCAAAGCTCAGCGTTTTTCCCTTGTCAAGAGCAAGCTGCATTCCTAACCTTGATATGTCACTTTCCAGTTGGTTTAATATTTGGGTGAGGATAAAAAGGAAATGTTTTTCAAAGATTAAAGAGATCCATGCTGGTAAGGTACGTGGTGTGTGATGTGTATGTATAAAACAGGAGATGTGAGCGTAATTATAAATGTTTGGATGATGGAAAAAAAGGTAAAATGAAAACAGCAGATGATGAAACAGAACAAGAACAGGAAGGGAAAAATCCATCTGAATGTGTAAATGGGATGTTATGACGGAAGAGGAAATGGGGCTGAAATGTTGTTGAATGTCAATTTAAATGTAAGACAAAAATAGAATGCTTGTTAGTTTGACCTGTAAATGTGTTTTCCCAGAGGCCTGAGGGCTGCCAGGAAGAGCAGGGGCACACGTACATTGCAACACAACCACGAGACCCACTGCCTATGGCTGTCCAAGGCGAGACACCATTTGTCTCCCAGGCCGCTGCATTCAGTCCATCTCAGGTCAGAAAGGGTTGGAAGCACCAGCTTTCCAGTAGCCAACAGCCAGTTTTTGGGGGGTTTCAGCTTGAGTTACAAAACATAAAAGCACCACAATTAACGCTGCCTTGATGTTGTGGCCAGGTGACCATTGTCTGCCTCCAGGGGCTGCAGGTCAATGCAGGAGGCCCAGGAGATGTGTGCATGGCCTGTGGGACCTCGTTGCCAATGGGAAATCTTGAATCAAACTCAGTTCACACTGTGTGGGGGTGACCTTTATGTGGGATCTTTCTCCTTGGGTGGCCAAATTACTGTGAGCTTGTAGGCACACACAGATGTGCCCACATACACACTGTTAGCCTCGAAGCCATTTGCTCACTTCCCTTTAATCAAAGCCTACTGCTATCAGATTTTCCTTTCTGTTTGGTGACTGAAGCACAGCTTCATGTGCCTTTGCATGGGAGCTAAGTGGGTCAGCGTGCTGTTTTGTTAGTGGCAGCTCTCACGTGGAAAGAGCCTGATGCAGAACACTAAGGCTTGGCAGGAAAGAACCAATTAAAGGTAGCATATTGTCTGAGCTGAAAGTGCTCAAATCTGGAGCTATGACAACTGTCTTGCAAGGGAAAGAATGAGGAATTACTACATTTGTAACTGATCCAGGCTAGGTAGTGCTTTCTCTGTTTCAAGTGTTCTGTCAAGGTACAAGCAAGGAGTTTGTTCCCTGTTTCAGAGGCGAGGAGTAGAGAAGGTGAGTTGCCCAGGGATGTTGCTAGAGCAAATAGAGACCACTCGGAAGCTTGGTCAGCACTTTGCATTAGTCTGTGCTATTTATCCTTGTGCCAAGAGCAGCGCTGCCTTTTCCTTAGCACAGCATGGGTGCGTTCAGGTGAACAGTGCATGAGATGTTATTGCCAGGGTTAGGGCAAAGGGAAAGATCCAGAGTTAAAGAATCGGGCAAAGTTGTGCCATCCCTTATTTATGCAAGCAGTGGAGCTGTGACAGCACATAAAAGAAATGTGGCTTTCCAAGTCTGCATGAGTGTATGTTCAACTCTAGGAAAACAACCCAGGGCCAGCCAGGCTTTGGCTCCAGTCCTGTGCTCTCATGGGCAGCAAAGTATCCTCATGTTACTTGTAAATGAATGTTTCACCTTGGAGCGCTCAGCCCTCGGATTCCTGTGCAGACGTTGTGCAAAAGAGCCCTAAAGGAAAAGGGAGGAGCAGGTTGTTCAGGTGCAGTGAGTTGTTTCTACTGTGGATGCCCCATCCCTGGAGATGCTCAAGGCCACACCTGAATGGACTCTGGGCAACCTGATCTGATAGGTGGCAACCAGCCCATGACAGAGGGTTGGAACTGGTTAGGCTTTAAGGTCCCTTCCAACCCAACCATTCTGTGATTCTATCAAATAAGAGCCCCTCTCCCTCCCAGCTCTTTCTTCTGCTTCCCACTAGTTCTGTTTCACTGATGTGTTTTGTTTGAAAGAGCACTGTTTTTAAATAAAAGCTACTATATCCATATATTCCTTTATATTAAAAAAAAAAACAAAAACTTTTTGACTTTGCCCCTACTTCCAGCATTCTGGGCCCTAAATGCAGAAATCTCTAAGCTTATGTTTCGCCTTCCAAATGCACTGTGTATATATATGTATATTTGCACATACCTCCTTAGCACAGAACAGAACTCTTCTCAGCAAGCTGGAAGTGGTGCATTTTGCAGGTGGGTGAGAAAAATCCGTGCTGCTTTGTTGGTGGATGTTGCTGCCTTTGTGCTGTGCTAGTCCTGTCTGTGCAGGAGATCCATGTGTGAGGTGCATAAGTAAATGCAGAGATTTCAGAAATGAGAGCATAGTAAAAGCAAGTACCTTTATTTAGGTACGTTTGTTATAAGGGCAATACTACCTGCTGTTAAACCACTAGCTGAAGCCCTTGTCAAGCACGTGCTGTTCATAGCTCCTCTGGACGAGGCACTGCTGTTTCCTTCACTTGGAATGGTCAAGGACTGGCAGGAAAAGCATGCCGTTATCTAGCAATAACTCTGGAGACATCTTTTTGAGATACTGATCTGATTCTGTCAGGAGAATTCAGTCTCTTTGAGAGCCGCTCCGGCCGTGCGGAGCCGCGTTCGGAGGGCGCGGGGCGGGACCGCGCCCACGGGGAGCCCCGCACATCGCGCACCGCGCAGGCGCCGTCGCCGCGGCAACCGGGCAGGGCGGCGGGGCAGGGCCCCGTGTAACGGCCGCGGGGGCGGGGCGAGCTCCCTCCCGCCGAAACGGGGCCCGCCGCTCCGGAAGTGGATGCGGCACCGCGGCGGGGTCGTTCCGACTCCGGCCCTCCGCGGCCGCCGCTAGAACGCCGGCCTTGCGCATGCGCACTGCGCGCGCTGATCTCACCGCCGCCCCGCCTTACCATAGAGACCGGCGACGGGCGCGTTCCCCCCGGCTCGCGCTCCGCGGTAGAGGCGCGTGAGGGATGGACGCGCGCTCCCCCTCGCGCGTGCGCGCTGCCCGTCCGGGAGCCTTCTAGAGGCGCGGGGCGGCGCCGCGCCTGCGCCGTGAGGCGAGGCTGGCGCATGCGCGCCGCCTCCCATTCTTCCCGTGGCAGCGGGGCGGGCGCAGCCATGCAGCGCAGCGGGCGCCGCCGCCGGCACTGAGCCCGCCCGGCCCCCGCCCCGCCGTACCCGCCAGGTAAGGGCCGCGAGCGGAGCGCGGGCACGAGGGGAGCGGGGCGGCGGTCGCCGGGGCCGGGCTCCCTCGGGGGCTTCGTGTGAGGGCAGCGCCGGGGGGCGCGGAGGGCCGGGGAGCGGGGGGGCGGCGGCGGCGGTCGGGGCTTCTGGCGTCCCTTTTGTGTGCGCGGCGCCCTATCGAATTGAATCGAGCGCCTTCGGGAGGTGGGCTCGGGCCGGGGATCGGCGCTAAGAGCTCCGCCGTCGTTAGGCGCATCCCGCGCGGGCGGCTCGGCGGCGCGGGCTGTGGGCAGGGTCACCCGCGGCTGTTTGTCGCTGCGCGCGGCCCCGCGCCGTCTGCGTGAGGCGCTGTCCGCGCGCCCCCGGCAGCGCTGGGGAAGGGAAGGGAAGAGCAGGGAAGGGCCGGGCCGGGCCGCTCCGCCGGCGCCGGGCGGGAGCTGAAGGCCCTGGCAGCGCCACGGCACGGCGGGCTGCGCGCGTCGCTCGGAGCGCTGCGGCGAAGGCGGGAGCCCGTAAGAGGAGCGGGTGCCGGTGGGGCAGAGGCGCGGTCTCCGCCCCGGTGCCGTGCCAGCGTCTCGTGCAGATGCGGTGGAGTCCATTTTGTTATCGGAGCCTAATGGTCCGTAACGTTCTTCTGCGCCTTTTGACGAGTTGTCTCCGTCGTTTGTCTCTGTTGGCGGCGTCCGGTGGGCGCTGGTGGGAGAGGAAGCCGAGTGTCGTTGCTTGATGCTCCGTAGCGCGAGTCCAGCGTTCAAACAGTCGTTCCCAAAGGCCTCAGAAGCACAGCTGTTCATCCAGGGTCCTGACCTGGGTTTAATGAGGGTTTGCTGGAGCGGTCTGGGAGGGATGGCTTTGGGAACTTCCAAAAGTGGAGTTTTTGACAGAGTCGAGGAGTGAACCACGAGCAGGATGGAATCACGGCACGGCAACGTTCAGGGTATTCCTTATCGCAGCAGCATTGCCCGCTGTATGGGATGAGCCTTTGTGCTGCAGTGCTGCGCTTGGCCAAGTCCAGCTCCTCTCTTTTCACTGTGGAATCCCATCAGTTAGTGGGACGAAAGCCTGGAAGTTACCAGAGGGACCTGGTGATGACTGTGTCACCGTGAGCCTCTATTTCATAGTCATGCTTTTTATTCTTTAAATGACTGCCAGCACAAATGGGATCTCTTTTCTATAGTGATGTGTGCAGCGTTCCTATGAAGTGCTCACAATTGATTAGGCAGATTCAAAAATGTCTGTGTTCCAAGAAGAACACTCAGTCCTTGCCTCACTTGGCTGGCAGCGTACGGTGCTGAAAGTGAGACAACAGTGTGCTTGTGGGCCGGGAGGGGTTTCTCTATTCGCGTAACATTCCCTAGAGGGACGCTTGCAGAGAATGCATGTGAACAAGTGAGCTGGTCCTCGAAACACTTCATCTCTGAAGTCCTGTTAGAACCTTAAATCTGAGCTGTAGCTGAAGTGCTAGGATCGTCAGATATTTAAAGAACGAAGTGGAAATGTTGTATTCCTTTTTCCACATGTTCCTTAGTTCTTCCCTATCTGTGGGGCTGTGGGTTGTCAGAGGGTGGGTGGTGACAGCAGGTCCAGGTGCTGTGGTGACTTACAAAGTGGGGTAAATCTTGTCCTTCACAACCTTTGGTGTTAGCTTGTCGTGATGTACTGCAATAGAAAGTGTGAAACAGGCTGGGCATAAAAATATTCTGATGGATGCAGTAAGGGCACCCACACACCTCCCCACTCCATTGTACGGGCAGATGGCAGAGCGATGTGGCTTTGAAGAGAGCTGCCATTTGGGTACCTGTCTGGCCTCAGGTTACTTGGATCAGGCACATGTGTCACTCCGAGCCTCTCATCATAGTGGCTTGGCCATGGCTGTGGCTTGCAGTCTTCATGGAATCATAGAATGGCCTGGGTAGAAAAGGACCACAGTGATCATCTAGTTTCAACACCCCTGCTATGTGCAGGGTCACCAACCACTAGACCAGGCTGCTCAGAGCCACATCCAGCCTGGCCTTGAATGCTTCCAGGGATGGGGCGTCCACAGCCTCAACTGTGCAGAATTGAAGCTCCCTCCTGGATCTTAATGGGGCCAGGGCACCTTTGCAGCAGCTCTTGTCGGTGTGTTAAAAATGCTGGCAAGTATCAAAAGGTTGCGCAGCTGAGTTAATAGATGAAACCAATTTGTTTATTGATTTCTTCAAACTCTACTAAATCGTAAACAAACAGTCTGCATGTGAGGAAAGGGGTTCAGTTCTGTCTTGATGAATAGTTACTGATTGTGACAGCCTCATGCAGAACAGCCTCAGCTTTACCCCTCACATTGCTCTTCGTTCTCATCAGCCTATGCAGAAGTTTAGAGCGTGTTTCTTTACAGCTCTTTCGGTATTTTGGGTATTGTCTGTCAGGCCAACCTGTTAGCAGTCTTCAAAGCTGTCTGAACCACTAATGTGAGCTAATTAAGAGTTTTTGCACAGCTGGATATCTAAGAATCAACAAGTTCCTTGGCATTTTGTGTTGTTAAATACCCGGCTCTGTCATAGGCATGTTAGAAAAGCATCATCATCAGTAGCTGATTGGAAGTCAGCAGATCTTACAGCGTCTGCCCTGCCAGCAGACTGATAGTTTAAACAGCAGCGTTTGTGTTTCAGGTCTGGGCTGGGATTTTCTCTCAGCTCTGCCTGCAGGTGCTTTCCATTCCAGGAGCTTTCAGAAATCTGCATTGAACCAACGGTGATTTGCTGAAGCAGGGATCTGGTCCAGCTGGAGTCTGGTTCTGACCTGTATTTCAGGGTGATGCTGAGCAGCAGGGAGGATTCACGGGTGTGTCTGTTCCTCTGCAGGTGGCTTCTTAGAGCAGCAGTCACTGAGCTGCCTCTGGAGCCCGGGACAAAAATAAACTTTTCAAAGTGACTGACTTAGGATCTGCTTGTGTCTCATTCACAGTGTAGAAGGCTCTCTCTAGGCCTGCTGGAGTGAAGTCTCATTCAGTTTGAAGTGTGTGTGTTCATAGCAGTAGTGCCTTGGAATGATGGTTTTCACAAGCAGGCACTTGAGCACTGGCACTTCCCTCTCTGTTATTTGCTGCCAGGGTGATTCTGGCTTGGGCTGGCACACAAAAGCCTACCTTTGTGTTCTGTGCCTCTAACCAGTTATGTATTGCTGAGGATAGCAGGCTCCTGGAGGATTGGGGAATATGGCATTTCTACCACAACCCCACTGATCTCCTAGAACTAGATTATCCGGATCTTGTACCCAGCATGTGGTACTGTGGGTTTTTATTTCCCCACGGTGCTATCTGGCCCTTGCTTCCTACTGCTGCTGCGGACTTTGTTCCAGTGACTCTGGGAAAGGCAATGAGTTTCTGCCCCATTCCTGCCTGCAAAGTAGGCTCTTGGTATTCTCCCATCTTTTCTCTCATTTACATTAAGAAATGCTTTTCATCTGTGAGATCATGTAAATTAGTGGTCTGAGCCTATGAGACTTCATTTATTGCAGTGCAGATAGGGACTGCAGGACTCAGATGTGTGCTGGAAGCCCCTGCTCCTGCTGGTGAGCAGGGAATGAATGGGACACCACTCATTTTTAGTGATGTTTTACTTCCACACCTTGCTGCTAAGCTTCACAGTCCAGCAAGGCTTCAGGTGGAAGTGTTCTCTTCTTCCCAGGTTCCTCCAACAGATCCCATTGCTGCCGGAGAACGGAGAGAGCTTTAGAGCCTGGTGCTGGGAAATTGCCCTGCTTTTGATTGTGGTAGGAAGGGAGCCAGACACCTCCATCTTAAAGTACTGTAACTGTATGGCTGGATGTCATCCAGAGTCAGTGCTGATTTTGAAGAGGGGAAATTAGGGGAAATCTGTATTTGGAAAACAAAGGCTGTTGGAACTCGTGTGTTTTCCTGCCGCACTCTGGAGGAGTGGCTCCTGCTCAGTGCAGTGGTTTCCGTAGTGCCAGGCACTGGGAGCACACTGAGACTGGGCTTGCTGCAGAGATGTTTTTGGAGATTGATGAGGCCTCACTGAAATCAGCACTTTTGCGAGCTGTCCCACTGCTGAGGCAGCAGTGCAAACGTTTATGGAGGCATACAAGAGGGCCTGCTGTCTAAAAGCTTATCTGACCCAGGGCAGGGTAATGCAACTTTCACGGCTAGCATCTGTCCTGGAAGGATTGCAGGGGGGGCTGCAGCGTCTTAGCTTAAGCCCTGGAAATCTTTCAGACATGTTCATTCTGGAAATCTGACTAGTTTTTCCTTGTGGCAGTGAATTTGTGTGCTGGTGTGGGTTGGTTGCTGTCTGTTCTTCAAAGACAAAGCCCCTTCATAGACTCTAAGCAAGCCTGAAGAACAGCTGGTACATAGCAGGGCCCCAGCAGCCTTCAGCCAGAGGTGGTTCTGCAGGTGAGCCCAGCAGCAGAGTGCAGCTGGTGCTGTTTGGGTCCAGGGGAACCTGGCAGGCACTACACCAAGGTGAGAGGAGCTGCCTCTTCCATTGGTGACCAGCTCCTGCTTAGAGGAGCAGGAGTTGTTAGGCTGGAACTCTAAGGATCACTGGATTAGGGGGAGGTTTAAATACAAGGCAGCACTAATTACTGATTTAAAGCAGTCAGTGATTGTGAAATAGCCCTGGGCACTAAATAAACATTATCTTCTACATATGGAGCCAGGTGAAGAGAAGGGAGAGCCCCTCTGTGCCAAGTGCTGGGTGGGCGTCTCCTGCAAACTGCTGCTTTTTGCATATCTGGGGAGGAACAGGTCCAGTTGGGTGCTTAGTGAGTGTCCTGCTTTGTGAAGGGCTGATATCAAAGCCCCCTGGGCAGGGCATGGAGAAGGCCATAAGGAGAAAGAGGACATGGAGGACTGAAGAGGACCTCCCTTCATGCAGAGCCTGGGTTTTGAGCTGCCATGCTGATGGGCCCTGTCTGGCCTTTGCAGGGCATGGTTTCCAGGTGCCTCTGCACACAGCATGCCCAGGGCTCTGGCTGCTGAGACCGGGCACTGCCCTCCTGCAGTGCTCAGCTGCTGGAGCTGATAAAAGCTACCTGAAGAGTTACTGCATTTGACTGGGGTGGAGATTGGGAGGAGTTGTTCTTTGCTGTGGAAAGTCAAGGTTCAAGGCAGTCTCATGTACCTTGAACTAAATTTAAGCTGAATCTTGCATGCAGTTATGTCCTGAGACCTGTGAAGGAGCTTGGTTGGCGCTCCTGTGTTGCTGTGTTACTCATACAGCTGCTCTGCTATACCTCACAATCTACAAAACATTGCACCAAAGAAGGGCTGTCTGGTCTGGGAGTTGTTGAGAAGACCAGCATACAGCTGGAAGCAGGCAGGGGAACCTTCAGGAAGCGCTGGAAAGACCTGTGAGAACAAGAGGAGCATTGCTGGCTGTGAGCCCCTGGGTGGCTGTGTTAGGGGCTCAGTGGGAGCTTGTAACCTGCACTGGTGTTTGTGTGTGAAGGTGCCCACATAATTGGAAGGTGCCAACTCAACGTGGTGATTAGAGCAGAGGGGTTAGTCTGGAGTGAGTGGGATTCTGCTATGCACTGAAAAGACTTTGTTGGCTTATGTGGTGGCATGAAAGTGAGTGCATCTTGGGTAACAAGTATTTCCTTTTTGCTCTTTTGAATTGACTTATTCCAATTGCTTTGCTGTGAGTTGTAGCAGCTTTGGTGAAGTTATGGTGATAGACTGAAGTTACTTAGCTTTGATACAACTGTTCAGGCTGCCAGCTTTCTCCTTTAACTCACCGTTCTGAGCTCCAAGCTGGCATTACTCTTAAGCCTCTCTAATGATTTTCTGCTGGATAGCTCTTGATGGAAAATGTAGGTGTTGCTGGCAGGGTCTGTGGCTAAGCACATAGTTTTCATGGCTTAATAGTGAAAGAAGGAGCTGTGTTTTTGCAGTGGCAGAGTTGGGGTGGTTGGGATATTCCCCCTCCCCACCTTGCATTATTTAACCTCCATCCTGACATTGTCAGTCTTGTTACAAGCTGCAAGCATAGCTGGAGGACCAGGACAGCACCATGCTCCAGAGCCTGCATTCACAGCTCTTCTGAAACATGGAGGAGCTCCAAGCACGTGATCTGTGCCACTGAGTTGCTGGTTTCCAAACCTGTGTGACCCTGCTTCAGTGGAAGAGGTGGTACTTGAAATCCTAGTCTGAAATGGTTGTATCCTGTAACAATGGCTACCCGCAACCAGTGGTGATGAGATTCTGCAGGAAAAGAAGTGGCCTCCTGTAGCTGAGATTGTGGGTTTGTGTTTTCCAGAGTTTGTTATGTGTGGAGCATCTGCCAGATCAATTTCAGGTGTGTTGAGATGCAGCAGCCATGTTCTTTGCTGTCTGAGAAGTTCGTATTTTTGAGTTTGGATCTTGGTTTTCTCATGGGGTACTTTTTCCTCTTCCTCTGTGAGGAAAGGGAGGTAATTAGCAGGCTTCCTCATGTATAGAAAAGCTTTTTTTTTTTTTTTTTAAAAGGTGCAAATTAAGCACCTGTTGGCTGGTAGATGCTAGGCAGCCACCAGCCTATTCTTCTGGCTTACTGCTCAGGTTTGCCTGAGGATTCAAAGGTGTTTGTGGCTCTTTTCTCCTGCATGTGATGAAGTGGTGCCATCATGTGCAGTGGGTTTTCTGTAGTGTACAGCCCTTGAGTCCATAGCATGCATCTGTTCTTCTGCAGTGCTCTGTAATCTTGGTCCCATGTTTTCCGTCAAGTGTCTTAAAAAATTAGGAGCTCTTAATGAAATTTGCTTAAATTAGTTCACTTAAGAGATTGCTCTCTGCTTGTAGGCACAGACTTACTTACTCCTAAATGAAAACCACAAGAAGAAAGGCTTCAAAGTTTGGCTGTTTCTTTCTCACGGCCCTGTGGGCACCTAATGGCTTGTTGGATGTGTTGGGACTTGTTGGTGTGAAGTTAATCAGAAATGGCTATTCTGTGGTAAGTCGCAGTCATTCACACCCTCCTGGAATCTGAATTAATTTTCAGGTTTAAGCAGGTTCCACATTTCCGTGTTAAGAGCAGTTAGGGGCCTTTCCTCGCCACCCTGACCCAATTTTAACAGAGGTCTCCTGTTGAAAGTGGGCAGCTTGTGGAATCCAGAAGCAAGTCACACAGCTAACTTGGGATGTTTCAGATAGGCAGTGCAGGGTGTGATGGACCCTCTCTTGTAAGGAGTGCCTTCAACAAGGAGCAGCAGGGCCAGCCCATCCTGAAGGGCAGGGATGGGCCGGTATTCAGAGGCACAGATGAGGAGACTCAGTGGAAGACTTCTATGCTTTTGTGATTGAAGTGGCAGTTTTTCACCTGTGCCATTTTGGGGAGTGTTTTTGTTTTTGGTTTTTTTTTGTCAAGATCAGTTTTAAACTATCACTTCTTGTTGTAGTTGGCTGCCAGAAATATGTTCTGTGAGGATGGGAGAGATCAGAGCATTTTGGTTGGTGCTGAACTGACATAATGGAGAAACTGCAGCTCCAATAGTAAGGAGAGGTATGGCTTTCTGCTAGTTTGGAACCAGAGTCTCATTTAGAAAGGAAAAAATAAGGGTTGCTCTGACTTTGAGTGCTGATTGAGCTGTTGTTGATAATTTCAGAACTGGAAGTTGAGGTCTTACCTATGGTCTGACAGAAGCTAGTAATAGAAGACATGATTGTGTTTCCTACTTAATAGGTAGATAAATAGGTTTTATAAAACAATAAGACTTTGATATGCTCTCTGGACGGCCCAGGTAGGTGTGCTGGTCAGAGGCAAGCAGAAGCTGTGTTCTGGTCATTTCCTATGGCACTGACAAAGCCCCAAGCGTTGTGCAGGTGCAGCTGATGCTTCCTTGCTGCTCCAGAGGGTCAGGTTTTGCTGGTGAGAAGAGATTTCAGTCTAAGGGCATGAAGCAACCTTTCTGGTTGATGGCAGGGATTGCCAGACAGTTGGCTCAGTTGTGTCTCTGGCTGTACAGAACCAGTTTGGATCGCTGTCAGCCATTGGGGATTTGAGCTGCAGGGCTGGGCAGGGGGGGGTCCATGCTCTGGGGCTCTTCCTGCCTGGTGAATAGTGGTGCAGCTGGTGTGGGCAGCCACAGTAGAGCTGCAGGCTCTAGATCCCAAACTTTGTTGTTGCCTCTGGAGCTGTGAGTGGCATTTGTGGGATGCAGCAGTGTGCAAGTGTGGCCAGGGAAGATGGAGGTGAGATAATGAACTGATACAGCGTGCTGTGCAAGTGTGCTTTTACTTCCAGACGAGGGATTTTGTGAGCATCTCATCTGCTTTCAGACCTGCTTTGCTTGTTATTAACTTTAGTGAAGGCCTTGTTTTCTCAAATGGAAGGTATTTAGAATTGCAGACCCATGCTTCCAATTAGTGAAAGCGCGCCTCCTGCTTCCCCCCAGTTGTGTATTGAACCAGGTGTCTGCTCCACAGCCTCTTGCCTCATACTGAGCTTGGCCTGCTTTCCTTGTTGTGGTGCAGAAAGTAGAGCAGACGTCAAGTTTTGGCTATTATTAGGCTGGAAACAAAAAAGTATACAGGGTTTTTGTCATCTTCTAACTAAAAGTGCTAACTTGGAAGAGGAAGTGCTTCGGAAGCAGCATGGCTGCAATGGGAGCCCTGGGCTGGTGGAGGACAGCTGGGAGGTCTGTGCCTGGAGGGGATGGTTTGGCTGCAGGTTGGGAAAAACCCTAAAGAGAAAAAAAAAAAAAAGCTTAAATGCAGTCCCTGGAGAAGAGAGCTTCAAATGTTGGGGAGCATAGCCAAATTCAGATGTGCAATTACTTTCTTTTCACAAAAGATGCTGTGCCTGTGAGTGGCAGCAAAATTTGTCCTGGCCTTTCTTCTCCATGGCTGTGGTTCCCAGGAAACCACAGGCCCTGCTGGCTGAGCCCTGGTTATGCTATTGCAGCAGACTGTGCTTTTTCCTGTGTCTGTGCTTTGGGATGTATCAGGATTCAGCCTGGAAGCAGCTTGAGCACTGGCTATTTGAAAACTGCTTGCTTGAGGTTCCTGGAGCCCAGCATTAGGGCTGAATCCTGCAGGCAGCTGGTGGCACTGACTGCTGATGGCCAGTGGTCCAAACAGGATCCAGATGCCTTCCTGCTTTCACTCCTTAAAACAGATGTGTTTTCCTGATGGCCTGCATAAGGCTTTTGTCTCTTCTTTTGTGTGTGAGTGGTGATGGTGGTAGTTGGAAGAATATTGATTATTAATCCTTACTTAAGGCCCAGATTTGCTGTCTGTCACTAAAGCTGCTGCTGGGGATCTGCTGGCTAACTGCTGTTGTGAAGAATAACCAGAGATTTTTGTCTTGACCTACCTTGTCTGATTCCTTAAAATAGAACAATGCTCGTATCCAGCTTATCGCAGCCTTGCAGCTGTATGTGAATAACCTATTTAGTGACATGCTTTCAATCTTTTTTTTTGCTCTGTTCTTAATTTAACCTATAATACTGTTCTTTTTCTTTCAGAATGGACTGCTGAATTGAGAATTATTGCAGACCCAACAGTACAGCACTGCTCATTGCTTCATCTATCACTAGTTATTTAAATTGGACTTTTAATATCCTGCCAGCTGCTGTTCACACACACATGGTGCATTGTTGCCATTCTCAGAATTGCATCTTTGAAACCCAGGCCCTCAGTAACCTTCACTGAACAAAGAAGTGACCTCCTGCATACATTCATAGAGGGATTTTTTGGACTGTCTGCCCTCTAGCTTTCTTGTTAGTGCTGTGTTTCTGAGACACTATGGAGCCCAGTATGGAGTACTGCTTAGCACAGGTGCTGCAGAAGGATGTTGGGAAGAGACTTCAGGTTGGCCAGGAATTGATAGATTACTTCTCAGATAAACAGAAGTCAGCTGATCTGGAACATGATCAGACGATGCTGGATAAAATGGTTGATGGACTGGCCACCTCCTGGGTGAATTCCAGCAATTATAAGGTAAGACTTGTCAAATTACAATGAAGATTTTGGTTGTAATTGAATTCTAAGTGATGCTTGATCCAAGTGGAACTTGTGTCGTATGCTTCTTAATATGCTGTTCTGTACTTAATATGCTGTTCTCTAAGCTGATCATTACGCTGAGTCAACCATCCTGGTCCCATTTCTTGGTAGCCGATTGCTGATATGATATTAAGGATTTGTGGCAGTTATACTTCAGCAAATCAGATTTATTTTGTGTGTTCGTACTCTGATATCCTGATTTCTTTGTATACCTTGTTTGTCTGTGGGATGCTTTGATCATCTCATTAATTGACAGTGTGGGTGATTTCTTGCCAAATAAAAATGGCAAAAAGCGTATATATATACGTGTGTGTGCATGTATGCAGCCTTTGCTTTTTCATACTGTCCTTAATTCTTGCTAGATGTTTTTTCTTACTATTTGGAGATAATTTAAGTACTACTGATCTACTGCAGTTAGCTCAGGAAAGGTAATGAGCGTGTGTATGTTCTCTTGAATTGAACAACCTTGCAGTGGATGAGCAGTGGGATTTGGAACTCAGCTGCCTTGTTATCCCTGTCATGCTGCTTCTGATTTCTTGTCTGCAGTTTCCTTACTGAGGAGAGGTTTGCAGCTGTGCTTTGGAAGAGTCGTGTCCTGGTCATTTCCCAAGGCATGCTGACAAGGCTGGTGGGATACTTAGGCTGTTGTTACAGGGAAGAGGTTTTGGTATTTTCTGGTAAATCCAGAAAAATCTGGGAGTAAAACCTCCTACAGACCTGATGGTGAAGCTCATTAACAGAGCTATACTGGAGTCCTTGCACATAAGAAGTGAAGGAGAGACTGACTGTGTGGGTTGTGAGTGCTTTGGAGCAGAACATCCTCAGATTCATTTAAACTTTTTAATAGAAATTTTGATTGAAAAGTAGCTGTGAGGGTGATGCATCTTGGCCAGTGTGTTCTGCAGGGCTGCGTTTGTGCTTTTCTTGTTTGCCAACAAACTACTGTGGTGAAAGCTGTTTGGCATCCAGGAACCCAAAAACCCAAAGCCAGTGGATCCATTCTGGCTGAGCCAGAAGAAATCTGCTGTCATTAACAAGTTGTGTTTGTGCAATGTCTTAAGAGCTTTCATTCCCCTTTTTTCTTGCTACCTGCCTTTCTTTCCATGTTTCTTGGTGGAAACTGTTCTTGCCAGCACGAACAGAGTAAACATTACACACAGCAATTGTGTGATGTGCCATTTGCTTAGACGTTACGAACTGATGTGAACTGCAGAACTGTGCAGTACTTTGCACTTCTGGCATCACACTTAGGTTGGTTTTTTTTCTTTTGTCCATTGAACTACAGCCCACCACGTCCACTGCGGTGTTCATTATCCAGGAACAAACCAGTGGTACTTCTGCACTGGAGTGATTCCACTCATGTTCTATAGGTGGCATTTGGTTTCATTTAATAAGTTCTAGTAAGCATAATATGGACTTATCTCAAGTTTCTGGAGGCTGTTTTCTCTGTAAATGGGTGTAATCGAGTATGTGAAGCTTTTAAGTGGGACAAGCAGACTACCTGGAGTTAAGTGATACTGCTTTTAATATCCAGCCAACGTTTCATCTCAATATGCCACTCTCTTTTTTGTTTTAGTGCCTGTATTTATATTCCTGGTAACTTTCCTCCAGACTGCTGTGCAATGTGACATCTTTGGCACAATTCAGCTCAGTTTGTGCTAAAGGGAGCTTCAGCTGCTGCGGCTGTGCATTTACAGGGAGGGCTTGAGTTGTCTTTGTCATTGGTTTGAGCTGTGTAAGTCATGACCATCACAGACAGTTTGAGACTTTGGTGTTTTTGTAGGCTGTTTTTATTTAACCTGACAGTATTTTGTGAAGCGCTGAGACAGGAGACGATACCATCTTCTCTTTCACTTGAGAATAACTAAAGCCTGCACTGAGGCATGTACTGTGAGACTTGTGGTGATACTAGGGGCTTCAGCATATTGTCTTACCTTCCCAATCCTATAGCAAGGGGAGGGTGGTGAAATCAGCAGAAGTCATTGATAGACCACCTTACTTTGAGCTGCTTGCAGCAGCATATATTCTTGTATACTCTTGTCAGGTAGGTGCAGGATCTCCTGATGCATACATTTGTGGCCAGTGTGACTTCCTCTGTGTCCAGACTGATGAACCAGTGATGTTTTGTGGTGGGATGCAGAGGAATGCATCTAGGATCTTAAAGTGGTGTTCATGCTTCTGGAAGTGGACTGAGGGTGTTTGGCAGTGACCTTCTTGTGGCATGTTCTCATTGAAAAATGGTAGGAGAGGGCAGTTCAAAGTGAAAATAGGTAAAGAACTTTGTGAGATTTGTTGCTTTTTATTCTAATCAAGTAATCATTATTTTGGTGCTGCTGTACTCAGTGCACTTGCCAGGGGGAGGATCCTTTTACCCTTGCATGGGACAATCCCTTTGCTCCAGATCAGCTTGGTCTGAGTGATGCTCTGTACCCAGCAGGTTGACCTGTAGGAGACATGAGGAGCTGACTCCAGTAACACAGCCCAGTGGCTGAAGATGTTTTCTCTCAGAGGTCTCCCAGGTGAACCTGGTGCATAGACCAAGTCTGTCAGGATGTGAGCTGTGTGTGGGACTCCTGATTTGATTCTTCTGCCTCCTGATGGCTTTCGTTACTTACAGAGAGAGCAAAATGAAACACGTGGTGAAGTATTGCAGGGAAATTTTATTTCCCCTGACAGAAATCATAATCATGTTAGAGAAGGCAGCCTTCCTTTCTTATCTGTGTCTGCATATCAGATGTTACAAGAGCATGCTTCACTGAGCTGAGGAGAAGGAAAACTTGCATAAATTAGCTGGCTTTCTTAAACTCTGTATTGAATAATGTTTTTGGTTTCTCTAATTGAGGGGTAGAACAGATGGTGCAGGCTTAGTTTAAAGTGGCATCCATTAGAGTTACTTAAGCTGATGAATGGTTGTTCTCTGTAGGCATACAGTTGTTCTCTATGCCACGTTTATTTTAGAAGAAATTCAGTGGAAAAAGTCCTGATTGAAGGAAGCAGTTATCAAGCATGGTTATGGGCTAAGGTGGTAATTTGGTAGGTGGGCTTTGTTGAATACTTAATGCATAGAGAAAGGAGTCTTTGGCATCTGGGGAAAAAGAAGAGAGTTAAATGGTTTCCAGACAGCTGTTAGCTGGTGAGTTTGGGGATGCTGAGGGGTATGTGAACATCAGTGAGAGCTGCATTTGTTTAATGGTTTCTCCCTAGAAAACCTTTTTACTATGGAGAGGTAACTCCTAATAGAAAGGAAGATGAACTAGAATTATTCTGATGTCCAACAGACGTGAGAAAATGGGCCACCAAGAGTGGTTTTGAGATCTGTACCAGAATGTATACACTCATATTGCAGAAATGAACTCTGACTCCAACTCTTGTGTGGGGAGAAAAGCTATCTTAGCAAGGGATAAAAAATAATTGGGCTTCTACTGTATTTGTGGAATATGGCCCTGATTTTAGGACTCTGGTGTTGGCAAGCTGCTAATAGGTGGGTTTTCCTGCCTGAAACCTAGAAAAGAGCAGAGGCTTGGCTCCAGGATATCCATTTTCCTGTAGGCATTGAAGTTATTTCCCTGCAGCTCCTAGGCCAGCTGAAGGGCTGTTTTTCCTCTGTGTGTGTGCAGTATCTGTGGCTGCCTTTCTAACACTCACTCTCTGTGTGGCAGCTGTAGCAAAATCAGCACTGAGAACTTTCCTATGGATTTATCTTCCCCTCTCCCCAGGTAGCAGTGGCTATGGATTGTCCTCTCACAGCTGGAGTGGGAGGAACTGGACAGTGGGGTGGTAATATTTTTCTGACTGGTTTATGTAGTGTGTTTGTGCTTCTGGTAGGGTAAAGCAGCAACAAATAAGCCTGTGATCCCAAGTGGAGCAGACAAGAGGATCTTTCAGTTACTCACCAAGATGTTATGAAATGGAATATAAATAGTGAGAACCCACAGAAATCCCTAGGGAGTGTGAAGAGCCCCCGTGTTGAAATAAATAGGAGGGATTTTGTTCTTGTAATGGCATGAATTTGGGTAGGGTCAGTTCAAAGGTCTGTGTCGCTTCGTGTCTCTTCTCTCTGGGGCTCACGCTGGGTGGTCGTTGAGTGTCCTCACTTGTAAATCCATCTGGATTCATTGTGGATCTGAGCCCCCTCTTCTGGTTTCTACTCCGGTCCCTTTTCACTTTGGGTTTTAGTGCTGGATGTGCACTGCAGCAGCTGCCGTGCAGGCTGTGTGATGACCTGCCCTTAGCTTTGGGGTGCTGGGTTGTTAGGGCAGACAGAGCCAGCCCTCCTGGGGTCTCGCCACCATCACGGTTACTAAATTGAGAGGACAAAGCTATTCCTTTAATGCTGGTGTAGTGTATCAGCTGCAGTGCTGTGGTGCTTGTCACTGTGGCTTTTTCAGAGGTCTAGCACGATTTGCTGTCCCCCGGGAAGCCGGGGGTATATTAGCTGGCTGCAGCCTGAGGGTCACAGCTGATGCCTGTGTGGAAAAGGCAGATTATTGGGGATTTAGTCCCTTGGTGATAAGGGTGCACTAATGCTATTGTGCTGGGCGTTATTGGGCCCTGTTGTGGAATGTGCTGTGCGGTGCTGGCTGTGTGCTCGGGGAAGGAATTCGGGCTGGAACAGGTGCAGGGAAGGGCCAGTGCAGTGCTCAGGGGGCTGGAGAGCATGGCTGGCCTGAGGAGGCTGAGGGCTTGGCTTGCTTAGCTTGTGAAGTGAAGGCTGAGAGGGAGTGTGATGGCTGTCTATAAATACACATCAGAGGGGTGGACGTGGGGTGGGGGCAAACTGTTGGAGCTAAAGGGCAAGGTTAGCACAAGAACAGATGGGTATGGATGGGCCAGAGTAAATTTAGGCTGGATGTGAGATGAGGGACTGGAAAACTCTTAAAGAGGAATGGGTGAGGGTAAGACATGTATTTGGTTTTAGGATTGTTCCTGTAATGATT